GTAGGTGATGATGTTCGGGAAGATGGTGTAGGTGATGATGTTCGGGAAGATGGTGTAGGTGATGATGTTCGAGAAGATGGTGTAGGCGATGATGTTCGGGAAGATGGTGTAGGCAATGATGTTCGGGAAGATGGTGTAGGTGATGATGTTCGAGAAGATGGTGTAGTTGATGATGTTCGGGAAGATGGTGTAGGCGATGATGTTCGGGAAGATGGTGTAGGTGATGATGTTCGGGAAGATGATGTAGGTGATGATGTTCGAGAAGATGGTGTAGGTGATGATGTTCGAGAAGATGGAGGAGGCGATGATGTTCGAGAAGATGGAGGAGGTGATGATGTTCGAGAAGATGGTGTAGGTGATGATGTTCGGGAAGATGGTGTAGGTGATGATGTTCGAGAAGATGGTGTAGGCGATGATGTTCGAGAAGATGGAGGAGGCGATGATGTTCGAGAAGATGGAGGAGGTGATGATGTTCGAGAAGATGGAGGAGGCAATGATGTTCGGGATGATGGTGTAGGCAATGATGTTCGGGAAGATGATGTAGGTGATGATGTTCGGGAAGATGATGTAGGTGATGATGTTCGGGAAGATGGTGTAGGCGATGATGTTCGAGAAGATGGTGTAGGTGATGATGTTCGGGAAGATGGTGTAGGTGATGATGTTCGGGAAGATGGTGTAGGTGATGATGTTCGAGAAGATGGTGTAGGTGATGATGTTCGAGAAGATGGAGGAGGCGATGATGTTCGAGAAGATGGAGGAGGCAATGATGTTCGGGATGATGGTGTAGGTGATGATGTTCGGGAAGATGGAGGAGGTGATGATGTTCAGGAAGATGATGTAGGTGATGATGTTCGAGAAGATGATGTAGGCAATGATGTTCGGGAAGATGATGTAGGTGATGATGTTCGGGAAGATGGTGTAGGTGATGATGTTCGGGAAGATGGTGTAGGTGATGATGTTCGGGAAGATGGTGTAGGTGATGATGTTCGGGAAGATGGTGTAGGCAATGATGTTCGAGAAGATGGAGGAGGTGATGATGTTCGGGAAGATGGAGGAGGTGATGATGTTCGGGAAGATGGTGTAGGTGATGATGTTCGGGATGATGGTGTAGGCAATGATGTTCGGGAAGATGATGTAGGTGATGATGTTCGGGAAGATGATGTAGGTGATGATGTTCGGGATGATGGTGTAGGCGATGATGTTCAGGAAGATGGTGTAGGTGATGATGTTCGGGAAGATGGTGTAGGTGATGATGTTCGGGAAGATGATGTAGGTGATGATGTTCGGGATGATGGTGTAGGCAATGATGTTCGGGAAGATGGTGTAGGTGATGATGTTCGGGAAGATGGTGTAGGCAATGATGTTCGGGAAGATGATGTAGGTGATGATGTTCGGGATGATGGTGTATGCGATGATGTTCGGGAAGATGGTGTAGGCGATGATGTTCGGGAAGATGATGTAGGTGATGATGTTCGGGAAGATGATGTAGGTGATGATGTTCGGGAAGATGGTGTAGGTGATGATGTTCGGGCAGATGGTGTAGGTGATGATGTTCGGGAAGATGGAGGAGGTGATGATGTTCGGGAAGATGGTGTAGGTGATGATGTTGGGGAAGATGGAGGAGGTGATGATGTTCGGGAAGATGGTGTAGGTGATGATGTTCGGGAAGATGGTGTAGGTGATGATGTTCGGGATGATGGTGTAGGCAATGATGTTCGGGAAGATGATGTAGGTGATGATGTTCGGGAAGATGGAGGAGGTGATGATGTTGGGGAAGATGGAGGAGGCGATGATGTTCGAGAAGATGGAGGAGGCGATGATGTTCGAGAAGATGGTGTAGGTGATGATGTTCGGGAAGATGGAGGAGGTGATGATGTTCGGGAAGATGGTGTAGGTGATGATGTTCGGGAAGATGGTGTAGGTGATGATGTTCGGGAAGATGGTGTAGGCAATGATGTTCGGGAAGATGATGTAGGCAATGATGTTCGGGAAGATGATGTAGGTGATGATGTTCGGGAAGATGGAGGAGGTGATGATGTTGGGGAAGATGGAGGAGGCGATGATGTTCGAGAAGATGGAGGAGGCGATGATGTTCGAGAAGATGGTGTAGGTGATGATGTTCGGGAAGATGGAGGAGGTGATGATGTTCGGGAAGATGGTGTAGGTGATGATGTTCGGGAAGATGGTGTAGGTGATGATGTTCGGGAAGATGGTGTAGGCAATGATGTTCGGGAAGATGATGTAGGTGATGATGTTCGGGAAGATGGAGGAGGTGATGATGTTGGGGAAGATGGAGGAGGCGATGATGTTCGAGAAGATGGAGGAGGTGATGATGTTCGGGAAGATGATGTAGGTGATGATGTTCGGGAAGATGGTGTAGGCGATGATGTTCGGGAAGATGGTGTAGGTGATGATGTTCGGGAAGATGGAGGAGGTGATGATGTTCGGGAAGATGGAGGAGGTGATGATGTTCGGGAAGATGGTGTAGGTGATGATGTTCGGGAAGATGATGTAGGTGATGATGTTCGGGAAGATGGTGTAGGCGATGATGTTCGAGAAGATGGAGGAGGTGATGATGTTCGAGAAGATGGTGTAGTTGATGATGTTCGAGAAGATGGTGTAGGCGATGATGTTCGAGAAGATGGTGTAGGCGATGATGTTCGGGAAGATGGTGTAGGTGATGATGTTCGGGAAGATGATGTAGGTGATGATGTTCGGGAAGATGGTGTAGGCGATGATGTTCGGGAAGATGGTGTAGGTGATGATGTTCAGGAAGATGGAGGAGGTGATGATGTTTGGGAAGATGGTGTAGGCGATGATGTTCGGGAAGATGGAGGAGGTGATGATGTTCGGGAAGATGGTGTAGTTGATGATGTTCGGGAAGATGGTGCAGGCAATGATGTTCGGGAAGATGGTGTAGGCGATGATGTTCGGGAAGATGGTGTAGGCAATGATGTTCGGGAAGATGGAGGAGGTGATGATGTTTGGGAAGATGGTGTAGGCGATGATGTTCGGGAAGATGGAGGAGGTGATGATGTTCGGGAAGATGGTGTAGTTGATGATGTTCGGGAAGATGGTGTAGGCAATGATGTTCGGGAAGATGGTGTAGGCGATGATGTTCGGGAAGATGGAGGAGGTGATGATGTTCGGGAAGATGGTGTAGTTGATGATGTTCGGGAAGATGGTGTAGGCGATGATGTTTGGGAAGATGGAGGAGGTGATGATGTTCGGGAAGATGGTGTAGGTGATGATGTTCGGGAAGATGGTGTAGTTGATGATGTTCGGGAAGTTGGTGTAGGCGATGATGTTGGGGAAGATGGAGGAGGTGATGATGTTCGGGAAGATGGAGGAGGTGATGATGTTCGGGAAGATTGTGTAGGCGATGATGTTCGGGAAGATGGTGTAGGCAATGATGTTCGGGAAGATGGTGTAGGTGATGATGTTCGGGAAGATGGAGGAGGTGATGATGTTCGGGAAGATGGTGTAGTTGATGATGTTCGGGAAGATGGTGTAGGCGATGATGTTTGGGAAGATGGAGGAGGTGATGATGTTCGGGAAGATGGTGTAGGTGATGATGTTCGGGAAGATGGTGTAGTTGATGATGTTCGGGAAGATGACGTAGGTGATGATGTTCGGGAAGATGGTGTAGGCGATGATGTTCGAGAAGATGGTGTAGGTGATGATGTTCAGGAAGATGGTGTAGGTGATGATGTTCGGGAAGATGGTGTAGGCGATGATGTTGGAGAAGATGGAGGAGGTGATGATGTTCGGGAAGATGGTGTAGGCAATGATGTTCGAGAAGATTGAGGAGGTGATGATGTTCGGGAAGATGACCTAGGCGATGATGTTCGGGAAGATGACGTAGGCGATGATGTTCGAGAAGATGGAGGAGGTGATGATGATCAGGAAGATGATGTAGGTGATGATGTTCGGGATGATGGTGTAGGTGATGATGTTCAGGAAGATGGTGTAGGTGATGATGTTCGGGAAGATGGTGTAGTTGATGATGTTCGGGAAGTTGGTGTAGGCGATGATGTTGGGGAAGATGGAGGAGGTGATGATGTTCGGGAAGATGGAGGAGGTGATGATGTTCGGGAAGATTGTGTAGGCGATGATGTTCGGGAAGATGGTGTAGGCAATGATGTTCGGGAAGATGGTGTAGGTGATGATGTTCGGGAAGATGGAGGAGGTGATGATGTTCGGGAAGATGGTGTAGTTGATGATGTTCGGGAAGATGGTGTAGGCGATGATGTTTGGGAAGATGGTGTAGGCGATGATGTTCGAGAAGATGGTGTAGGTGATGATGTTCGGGAAGATGGTGTAGGTGATGATGTTCGGGAAGATGATGTAGGTGATGATGTTCGGGAAGATGGTGTAGGCAATGATGTTCGAGAAGATGGTGTAGGTGATGATGTTCAGGAAGATGGTGTAGGTGATGATGTTCGGGAAGATGGTGTAGGTGATGATGTTCGGGAAGATGGTGTAGGTGATGATGTTCGGGAAGATGGTGTAGGTGATGATGTTCGAGAAGATGGAGGAGGTGATGATGTTCGGGAAGATGGTGTAGTTGATGATGTTCGGGAAGATGGTGTAGGCGATGATGTTGGAGAAGATGGAGGAGGTGATGATGTTCGGGAAGATGGTGTAGGCAATGATGTTCGAGAAGATTGAGGAGGTGATGATGTTCGGGAAGATGACCTAGGCGATGATGTTCGGGAAGATGACGTAGGCGATGATGTTCGAGAAGATGGAGGAGGTGATGATGTTCAGGAAGATGATGTAGGTGATGATGTTCGGGATGATGGTGTAGGTGATGATGTTCGGGAAGATGGTGTATGTGATGATGTTCGGGAAGATGGTGTAGGTGATGATGTTCGGGAAGATGATGATGTTCAGGAAGATGGTGTAGGTGATGATGTACGGGAAGATGATGTTCAGGAAGATGGTGTAGGTGATGATGTTCAGGAGACCCTGTGAGTGCTACATACTAAGGAACATACCCCTGTCGGCCCCAGTCGTTGCGGCGGTTCTTTGTGTACCAGTTGGAAACACATGGTGGAGGGGGAACGGGCTTGGACACTTCTGTCTGAAAATCGGTGTCTTCCTCAGTGTAACGTTTGGAAAACATCTTGTCATAATATTCCTCCATGTCAACACCTGAGTCTTCTGTTGTCATGGTTACCTGTTAACAAAGACTGAAAGTAAAAATGTTGAAAGGTTTTGGGATATTATATAAAGTCTATTATACAATCTCTAGTTATATGTCGGCAGCATGTAAATTACCTATCTGGACCAGACAACCCCAGTGCTCATATTGGCAAGTGACAGCATGTGTGGGCGAGAAAGAAGTGAACAAATGCTCATCCTACCGGGCGCGTACATATTTCGATCATATTATTTCATCTCTAATCGTTCCTATTAAAACATGCAGGATAATTTCGACCCTAAAAACAGACTCGTTGCTCGATTATTTACATGCTGCTGTCATATAGCTGGAATGTTGCTGAGTGGGGCGTTAAACAACAAACAAACAAAAGTGGTAAGGTTACCCTAAAGTTGAAGAGCTACTGCCGGCAGCCAGAGACAATGGGCCCGTGACAATTACTAATTAGCGTTTTAAGTATAAGCTGTGGGTAATAGCTAAAAGTCACCTCAGCAAAACGTCACCGAGCAAAAACTGTACCGATTGGCGAAAATGTCACCTAGCTTAAAGCAAAACCGTCAACTATTGCCTGGCGAAAATGGCACCTTATTTTTTTTTACCTTGGTATTAAATAAACAAAATTAAACTCTCATGGTCACTTGCCATCACCAATAATTGTGAAATGTTAAAACAAGTTTACATTAGAAATAAGCCTCTACTCCAATTTACTCGCCAACTCTGATTGGGAGGCGCAACTAAACTTAATGTGAAAACATCACATGCTTTGAAGTAAAATAAATGAAATTAATCTCACATTTGTCTAGTTCTATTAGTGGAAACTTCAGATACCAGAACATTCTGGCGCTGCAGCATCAGATACAAGACAACAACCTGTCTGCCATCAGTCATACAGTTGAGGGGCGGTTGGGTAGCCTAGTGGTTAAAGCGTTCGCTCATCACGCTGAAGACCCGGGTTCGATTCCCGACATGGGTACAATGTGTGAAGCCCATTTCTGGTGTCCCCCCGCCGTGATATTGCTGGAATATTGCTAAAAGCGGCGTAAAACCATACTCACTCACTCATACAGTTGAGTTGAGGTACTGTGCTATTAATTAATATTGCTGTTACAACTGATTGGTGTAATTGCCTGATAATTACAATATGCTATCAATTTATTGTTGCTTATTGTTAAAGTAGAGTAATTGAACAAAGAAGTGCCGTTTTCGCCCGACAAAAAGTAACCGTTTTCGCCAAATGAGGCGCCATTTTCGCCCGAGACATCGGTGACGTTTTAGCCTGCACCCACAGTAACGTTGGCAGTAGACTTGTGGTTAAACTGCAGTCTCGACTCGAAACAAGTGCCATCGTCTGATAACGTGCAAGGTTGTGCACGAAATCTGAGGGTCTTAGATTTTATCATTATTCTCTAAAAACTGTCTCCACTGTACTAAAACAACTTCCCATATTAGCTAGAAGGGGGCAGACCCAAAGTGAAATAATAACAGAGAACTACATACGTACTTTTATATGACCGCTAACAATGCTTTCCTGACACAAAATAAGAACACCTGCTCAAACCGGATGCATCTCCATACTTTAATGATTACAAAATAAGACTTAAACCTGGAAAAGGTTAAAATCCTATCGACGTATTAAGGAGTGAAACACATTATGCAGATTATTTGATATCAGATTAGTATATTTATACTTACCCACGAGTATTTGTTCACAGTTTGTAATCTCACAAAGAAACGTTTAATTATTTACATGATACATTATAGCTCATTTTCGCCTCATTAACGCAAACTGGTCTTTTATATGAAACCCATGTAAACTTCCGGTCTCATGGTGGTTCTCCCGTCTGCTTCTTAGTTAGAAAGACAAGCATGTGTTTATGATGTGTTATGTTCGTACGAATAAGGGAAACTAACGTAAGTATTCAGCACTGTTAGTTTACTAGCATAAGAGAGATTGGACATTAAGCTTTTCATAGGCATGAAATAATGAAGCTGATATTCCATAAACAACTTTGGACCTTCTCTGTGTGTTTATTCCTCTTTCAGTGAAGTTTCTGTTACAGACAGTTGGTTGGAGACTGGTCATTTACAACAGGGAGGGGAGTTGTGAGATTGGAGATTCACGATATATGTATGCAACATAATAACTATAAGCGTAACACTTTGAAACTTAACTACTATTGCCAGATATTTTTTTTGCGTGTGGAACAATTTCACCAGTCTGTTGAAGCCCACCGTGTTCTTGCTGAAGCAAATGGATGAAAACAAATTGCAAATATTGTAATTACAACTGCAAAAAGTTATATGTATAATATCATGCAGTTTCCTTGTTCAAAGAATATATCTGTCGATATCCAGGAACAATATCCCATACATCTGAAGCTGTACAAAGAAACTTGTTCGATGTCACATGTCTATGTAACAATCTAATATTTTGAAATATGTACATACAGTGTTTCACGACTTTGTAAACAATGTTCGTCTCAACTGATCAAGTAAGCTTGATTCAGGTGTTTCATTGGTCAGCTTTGTACACATTTTGCAAATCCTGAAATCAACTGAAATCTGCATCGTAGTTTGCAAACTGGGTGTCAATTTCATTAAGCAATTTTTATTGGACTATGAATAGACTCGTTAGTCCAGCCAAAATATTTCTCTGTAATTCCAGACTAGTTCGGTATCAGCTGATAATATGTTTTGAGATGGGGAAAAACATTGTGTCAGCATTATACTTGAGCTAATTAATGTAAATAACTTTTGAGAGCCATGTGCGCTATAATCGAGTAAGCGTTATTTTGAAGGGCGCAATGTACTTAAGATTTGCATTCCATATCGTGGCATATCGATAAATAGGCCCACAGGTACCGTGTATCAAGTATCGCGATACATTGGAATATCGGTGTATTGTTTCACTCTTATTTGTAACTAAGAAATCTCCCTTGAAAAAAAAGTCAAAATGGTTATGGAAAAGTCAAAATGGCCAAGGAAAAGTCAAAATGAAAATCAATTTATAAATATTTTGTGTTAAACCCTGCTAATATTTCACTGCAGGGGAGTCAAGCAGGGAAATGTTTCACATCAGCACACAGAGAAAGTACTGGACATTCAAAGATGACCAGGAGCTTGTCTTGCTGCGGACAGAAGCAAACGAGAAATGTATCAACAGTATTGCGGGCAACATGACAGTAAGTAGGCACAGTACATTGCATCGGAGGGGGATTGCTAAATGTGTTTGCTCAACCACAGCGGCCATTGCTTTTCTCAAACCCTTGATCATGCTCACAGCAATTACAAGGGGGGGGGGGGGGGGTGTTGAGTTGTCTCCCTTTCTTCAAAAGTTACCTCCCTTTACACCAGCCGCCATCAAGCTTCTTCCAAGTGTGACACAGCCATTACTAGAAATTTGACCTCTAACCCCAAATGTAGTGACATTTATATTTTGTGTATGTGTGTGGGAATGCCATCATAATGAATTTGGAAAAGATTTTTGACTGACTTACAATTTCCTGGGTGAACTTATGTTTTTTTGGTCTAATCAGATAGGTTTAAGGTTGGAGACTAACGAAAGTTCCCCCTTATATTCTTACTATACCAATCACATGATAGTTGGGAGGGCAGTCGGATAGCCTACTGGTTAAAGCATTCGTTTTTACGCCGAAGACCCGGGTTTGATTCCCCACATGGGTACAATGTGTGGAGCCCATTCCTGGTGTCTCCCTCCATGGCATTGCTGGAATATTGCTAAAAGCAGAGTAAAACCATATTCACTCACTCACATAATAGTTGAAATGAAATAGTACTTCAAGTTGACAAGGAAAGTAATTTCTTGTTTATGTTTACGCAAGGGAGTTAACTCTGAAGACACACTGGGAATAATTATTTCCTTCTGTTCGGCACTCCTTATTTTTATGTTACAGGATGAAGAGAGGTCTCGACATTTCCTGACCGCACAGGAGGAGAGGCTGCTGTGTCGGCATTTTGAGTTTGTGATGAAGGAATTTTGTGGGAAGTTTCAACCTCCGATGCCAAAATGTGTTGTTGTAAGTCGCAGGCGTAATGCATTGGTGTTTGGAATACTTTACAGGGCTCGATGTAGCTACTAGTATACAAAACATGCATCAGTGACACCTATTATTAAAAAATGAAACCTAATATTTATGTCTACATGCACTGAGTGCATGTAAAAAAAATTCAAATTTGTGTCTGACTAACCCTGATCTCTGAACACACGCAGTACCTCCAACGTTTATTTGCCATACAACATCACTCGCCCTTATATTATTTGTGCGCTGCGATTGGCTGTGCAGAGTTACGTCCCTTTGGCATGCCAGAAACCTCAACATTTGAAATAGGGGCCTCTTATTGGAATATAATTTTGGTGAATGAGTTGAAAGATTGTAAATTTCGTGGTTTATGCTGACAGCCTGAAATGATACAAAAGAAAAGTCTGTGTGTGTATCATGGTGTATTATACACGACAGATATATATTTTGAGAATTTAATTGTCCGTAATTAAAGGTGCATATAACACACGAGTGCCTATTATACACGAATAAATAAATCTTGTGTTCATTGATCAATCGGAAGAGGGTGCCAACTAGGATTGTTCACTAGCCAATATATTACCAAATATCGCCGTGGGCGCTTATTAGAGCAGGGCGCTTATTACATCGAATACGGTTATCGAAGTTCAATCAATTTTTAAAATAATTTTTAAACCCAACAAGACAGTTGGGCAGGTGACCCATAAATGTCGCCTGTCGATTTCTAAAGCTATCTTCCCACATTCAGACATTATGAATATTATACATCACGAAAAATATGTGACAAATCACATCTTGATTCAGTTGAAAAAATGCAAACAATAAATTGAGAATCTATGAGGAGTTATGATAAAACTGAAGATGTAAGTTGACTTAAAATTATCTGCCAGACATTCGGGCAGGTGGAGGAAAACTTCATGCTGCCTGACAGAAAAGTTACCAGCCACGGGCAGGGGGGCAGGTAGTTATTTTGGACAGTGACTTCAATACATTTTGTCATTCACTAAAGTCACATTAGAAATAGCGTCGCAATGCAAAGCCTGAGCGAGACGCCCCTTGTATTACTGATTTAACTATTCTAGACTCAAGTATATCAAGGCTGTCAAGATTGGTCTTTCGTTCTGATTGCTCATTGCAGTACAGACCGCCTCCGTGGTCTAGTGGTAGAGCGTCTGCCCGGATATCGGAAGGTCTGGAGTTTGATCCTCGGCCGCATCATACCAAAAGATGTTAAAAAATGGTACTTGTGAGTCGTGACCCTGTCTGGTGCTTGGCGTTTAGGGGCTAAAACAAGGACTGGTCGGCTCGGAGTCAGTATACTGTGTCTGAGTGGGGTATTGTGTTAAACTGTGTATGGTATCTCAGTGAGCTTAGCACTATAAATCGGCATCAGTCCGGACTAGTACAATCAGCCACCCACCCACACAATCATGTGCATGCACGTTGCTTTATAAGTGCAATAATCTTGGAGGTGACGTAAAACCCAATCTCACCTCACCTCACCTCACCTCACCTCACCTCACCTCACCTCACCTCACCTCACCTCACCTCACCTCACCTCACCTCACCTCACCTCACCTCACCTTATTGGAGAACAAACACTCATTCAGTTCTGATTGCATTTCAGGGTACTGCAATAAATTTCATGAAGAGATTCTATGTGAACAACTCTGTGATGGACTACCACCCAAGAGATATCATGTAAGTACTGTACTTGTGAACCACCTTGTGTTTGTCACCTGTGTATATCTGGCTACTTAGGTGGAAGAGATTTGTGTGCCGACCTGTACTCACCAAGCACCTTGTGTTTTGTTACCTGTGTCCTGGTTGGAAGAGATGTATGTGCCGACCTGTACTCACCAAGCACCTTGTGTTTTGTTACCTGTGTCCTGGTTGGAAGAGATTTGTGTGCCGACCTGTACTCACCAAGAACCTTGTGTTTGTAATCTGTGTATATCTGGCTACTTAGGTTGAAGAGATTTGTGTGCCGACCTGTACTCACCAAGCACCTTGTGTTTGTAATCTGTGTATATCTGGCTACTTAGGTGGAAGAGATGTATGTGCCGACCTGTACTCACCAAGAACCTTGTGTTTGTCTCCTGTGTATATCTGGCTACTTAGGTGGAAGAGGTTTGTGTGCCGACCTGTACTCACCAAGCACCTTGTGTTTTGTTACCTGTGTCCTGGTTGGAAGAGATGTATGTGCCGACCTGTACTCACCAAGAACCTTGTGTTTGTAATCTGTGTATATCTGGCTACTTAGCATGCTTAGGTTGAAGAGATTTGTGTGCCGACCTGTACTCACCAAGAACCTTGTGTTTGTAATCTGTGTATATCTGGCTACTTAGGTGGAAGAGATGTATGTGCCGACCTGTACTCACCAAGCACCTTGTGTTTGTCTCCTGTGTATATCTGGCTACTTAGGTGGAAGAGATGTATGTGCCGACCTGTACTCACCAAGAACCTTGTGTTTGTCTCCTGTGTATATCTGGCTACTTAGGTGGAAGAGGTTTGTGTGCCGACCTGTACTCACCAAGCACCTTGTGTTTTGTTACCTGTGTCCTGGTTGGAAGAGATGTATGTGCCGACCTGTCCTCACCAAGAACCTTGTGTTTGTAATCTGTGTATATCTGGCTACTTAGCATGCTTAGGTTGAAGAGATTTGTGTGCCGACCTGTACTCACCAAGAACCTTGTGTTTGTAATCTGTGTATATCTGGCTACTTAGGTGGAAGAGGTTTGTGTGCCGACCTGTACTCACCAAGAACCTTGTGTTTGTCTCCTGTGTATATCTGGCTACTTAGGTGGAAGAGATTTGTGTGCCGACCTGTACTCAACAAGAACCTTGTGTTTGTAATCTGTGTATATCTGGCTACTTAGGTGGAAGAGATGTATGTGCCGACCTGTACTCACCAAGAACCTTGTGTTTGTCTCCTGTGTATATCTGGCTACTTAGGTGGAAGAGATTTGTGTGCCGACCTGTACTCACCAAGAACCTTGTGTTTGTAATCTGTGTATATCTGGCTACTTAGGTGGAAGAGATTTGTGTGCCGACCTGTACTCACCAAGAACCTTGTGTTTGTAATCTGTGTATATCTGGCTACTTAGGTGGAAGAGATTTGTGTGCCGACCTGTACTCACCAAGCACCTTGTGTTTGTAATCTGTGTATATCTGGCTACTTAGGTGGAAGAGATTTGTGTGCCGACCTGTACTCACCAAGAACCTTGTGTTTGTAATCTGTGTATATCTGGCTACTTAGGTGGAAGAGATTTGTGTGCCGACCTGTACTCACCAAGAACCTTGTGTTTGTCTCCTGTGTATATCTGGCTACTTAGGTGGAAGAGATTTGTGTGCCGACCTGTACTCACCAAGCACCTTGTGTTTTTAGTCTTACATGTGTATATCTGGCTACATAGGTGGAAGAGTTTTTTTTGTGCTGATCCAGGATCCAGACTCAATTATTTACAGACAGCTGTCAATTAGCTTTAATATTGTGGTGTTAAACAAAAAACACACAAAACTGACAATATACCTTGTGTTTCAGGCTCACGTGTGTATACCTGGCTTGTAAGGTTGAAGAGTTCTACGTGCCGATTGGTCAGTTTGTAGGCAACCTAAAGGGCAATCGGGAAAAGTTCGCTGACATCGTTCTTGGATTCGAGTTGTTGCTGATGCAGAGACTACACTATCACCTGACAATCCACAACATGTACAGACCGCTGGAGGGGTTGTTCATAGACTTGAAAGTACGGACAGTAGATCTATGTTGTTTAGTTCATAGACCTGAAGGTACAGGCAGTAGATCTATGTTGTTTAGTTCATAGACCTGAAGGTACAGACAGTAGATCTATGTTGTTTAGCTCATACACCTGAAGGTACAGGCAGTAGATCTATGGATGGTCTCTTGTATGACATATTGTTTAGTTCTTAGACCTGAAGGTACAGGCAGTAGATCTATGGATGGTGTCTTGTTTGACATATTGTTTAGTTCATACACCTGAAGGTACAGGCAGTAGATCTATGTTGTTTAGCTCATACACCTGAAGGTACAGGCAGTAGATCTATGGATGGTCTCTTGTATGACATATTGTTTAGTTCTTAGACCTGAAGGTACAGGCAGTAGATCTATGGATGGTCTCTTGTATGACATATTGTTAAGTTCATAGACCTGAAGGTACAGACAGTAGATCTATGGATGGTCTCTTGTATGACATATTGTTTAGTTCATAGACCTGAAGGTACAGACAGTAGATCTATGGATGGTCTCTTGTATGACATATTGTTTAGTTCATAGACCTGAAGGTACAGGCAGTAGATCTATGGATGGTCTCTTGTATGACATATTGTTTAGTTCATAGACCTGAAGGTACAGGCAGTAGATCTATGTTATTTAGTTCTTAGACCTGAAGGTACAGACAGTAGATCTATGGATGGTCTCTTGTATGACATGTTGTTTAGTTCATACACCTGAAGGTACAGGCAGTAGATCTATGTTATTTAGTTCTTAGACCTTAAGGTACAGACAGTAGATCTATGGATGGTCTCTTGTATGACATATTGTTAAGTTCATAGACCTGAAGATACAGACAGTAGATCTATGTTATTTAGTTCTTAGACCTGAAGGTACAGACAGTAGATCTATGGATGGTCTCTTGTATGACATATTGTTTAGTTCATAGACATGAGTGAGTGAGTTAAGATTTAACGTCACATCAGCAGTATTTCAGCCATATCGTGATCATAGACATTAGGGTATGTGCAGTAGATCTATGCATGGCCTCTTGTATGACACATTGTTTAGTTCATAGACCTGAAGGTACAGACAGTAGATCTATGTTGTTTCGTTCTTAGACCTGAAGGTACAGGCAGTAGATCTATGTTATTTAGTTCTTAGACCTGAAGGTACAGGCAGTAGATCTATGTTATTTAGTTCTTAGACCTAAAGGTACAGACAGTAGATCTATGGATGGTCTCTTGTATGACATATTGTTTGGTTCATAGACCTGAAGGTACAGACAGTAGATCTATGTTGTTTAGCTCATAGACCTGAAGGTACAGACAGTAGATCTATGGATGGTCTCTTGTATGACATATTGTTTGGTTCATAGACCTGAAGGTACAGACAGTAGATCTATGTTGTTTAGCTCATAGACCTGAAGGTACAGGCAGTAGATCTATGGATGGTCTCCTGTATGACATATTGTTGAGTTCATAGACCTGAAGGTACAGACAGTAGATCTATGGATGGTCTCTTGTATGACATATTGTTTAGTTCATAGACCTGAAGGTACAGACAGTAGATCTATGGATGGTCTCTTGTATGACATATTGTTTAGTTTATAGACCTGAAGGTACAGGCAGTAGATCTATGTTGTTTAGTTCTTAGACCTGAAGGTACAGGCCGTAGATCTATGGATGGTCTCTTGTATGACATATTGTTTAGTTCATAGACCTGAAGATACAGACAGTAGAGCTATGTTGTTTAGTTCTTAGACCTGAAGGTACAGACAGTAGATCTATGGACGGCCTCTTGTATGACATATTTTTTAGTTCATAGACCTGAAGGAACAGACTGTAGATCTATGTTGTTTAGTTCTTAGACCTGAAGGTACAGGCAGTAGATCTAAGGCTGGACACCCTTGTACATAACAACCTCACAACTATCGCAAGTCTATCTTAGGGTTTGTTGAGTTTGCTATTTTTGGTATTGGTACTCTGAAAGTGCTCCCTCTCTTTCTGCTTTTAAATCTGGATTGAAAACTTACCTCTTTCAAAGCTACTGACCTTCTGACTCATCATGTATTCCCTTAGATCATGTCCTCTGTGATGTAGAATATAGCACTATATATATGGTTGTATTATTATTGTTATAATGGGCAGCATGAGGATTATTTCACGATGGTTCAGCCCCACAATTGATGCTACCACATCTATTTCAGACTCGATATCCCCAGATGGGTGACCCTGAGAAGTTACGACGCTATGCAGAGGACTTTATTGACAAGAGTCTGGGCACTGATGTTTCCCTGTTGTTTGCACCGTCGCAGGTGAGACCACGCTGGCTTGTTGTTTGCACCGTCGCAGGTGAGACCCTGCTGGCTTGTTGTTTGCACCGTCGCAGGTGAGACCACGCTGGCTTGTTGTTTGCACCGTCGCAGGTGGGACCATGCTGGCTTGTTGTTTGCACCATCACAGGTGAGACCCTGCTGGCTTGTTGTTTGCACCGTCACAGGTGAGACCATGCTGGCTTGTTGTTTGCACCATCGCACGTGAGACCATGCTGGCTTGTTGTTTGCACCGTCACAGGTGAGACCATGCTGGCTTATTGTTTGCACCATCGCAGGTGAGACCATGCGGGCTTGTTGTTTGCACCGTCGCAGGTGAGACCACGCTGGCTTGTTGTTTGCACCATCACAGGTGAGACCCTGCTGGCTTGTTGTTTGCACCGTCGCAGGTGAGACCATGCTGGCTTGTTTTGTTTGCACTGTCGCAGGTGAGACCATGCTGGCTTGTTGTTTGCACCGTCGCAGGTGAGACCCTGCTGGATTGTTGTTTGCACCGTCGCAGGTGAGGCCATGTTGGCTTGTTGTTTGCACCTTCCCAGGTGAGACCATGCTGGCTTGTTGTTTGCACCATCACAGGTGAGGCCATGTTGGCTTGTTGTTTGCACCATCACAGGTGAGACCATGCTGGATTGTTGTTTGCACCGTCGCAGGTGAGACCATGCTGGCTTGTTGTTTGCACCTTCCCAGGTGAGACCCTGCTGGATTGTTGTTTGCACCGTCGCAGGTGAGACCATGTTGGCTTGTTGTTTGCACCTTCGCAGGTGAGACCATGCTTGCTTGTTGTTTGCACCATCGCAGGTGAGACCATGCTGGCTTGTTGTTTGCACCATCGCAGGTGAGACCATGCTGGCTTGTTGTTTGCACCGCCACATGTGAGACCATGCTGGCTTGTTGTTTGCACCGTCGCAGGTGAGACCATGTTGGCTTGTTGTTTGCACCACCGCAGGTGAGACCATGCTGGCTTGTTGTTTGCACCGTCGCAGGTGAGACCATGCTGGCTTGTTTGCACCGTTGCAGGTGAGACCATGCTGGCGTGTTGTTTGCACCGTCGCAGGTGAGACCATGCTGGCTTGTTGTTTGCACCGTCGCAGGTGAGACCATGCTGGCTTGTTGTTTGCACTGTCGCAGGTGAGACCATGCTGGCTTGTTGTTTGCACCATCGCAGGTGAGACCATGCTGGCTTGTTGTTTGCACTGTCACTGTTCAGTGGTAATTTAACATTGCATTTTCCTAAATTCGAAAGAATTTTAACATTGCAATAATATAAAACTAAGACTTAATGCCTCTTGCACTTTATTGGCCCTGTCTGCAGTGGTAACAAGTTACCTCCACAAAGCCATAACATCAGTTGTCATGGTTATAACTATGTCAACAATAATTGGGAACTTAAAATTCAGTTTGGGAATTTTTACTGACATTTGCTGCTGACTTGGGGATGAATATCAGCCTCTTAGCAGGAAGAGATAAACCCCTGATTTTAATTTGTAACTGAGCGCTTTTTGTGAAATTATATACAGATTTTGACCAATCAGAATCAAGCATTCTTCAGAGTCATGGTAGAATTTATTTTGAAACCTGGAACTGAAGACACTGCTTTGTTGTAGGTGGCTCTGGCTGCACTACTCAGTAGCGCATCAAGGGAACAGATCATCATGGACAGGTGAGGCTCACATAGGGCCAGGGAAGAAAAGTAGATGCTTAAATGTACAGAAACCTTATGCACCAGACTCAGACCTCGGACCTCAGACTCATGAGTCTAACCCATTAGACCCATCTGACCCCAGACTCATGAATTGACCTCAAACTCTGACATTAGACCCATTTACCCATTTGACCTCAGATTCTTGAGTCTGAGCCATTAGACCCACTAGACCTAAGACTGATTAGACCCCCAGACACCTGAGTAGACCTCAGACTCAGACCTTTAGACCCATTAGACTCCAGATTCATTAGTCACTAGACTCATGAGTAGACCTTAGACTCATACATTAGACCCATTAGACATCAGACCCATTAGACTCCAGACTCATGAGTTGACTCGGGGCGGTCGGGTAGCCTAATGCTTAAAGCGTTAGATCGTAACGCCGAAGACCCGGGTTCGATTCCCGACATGGGTACAATATGTGAAGCCCATTTCTGGTGTCCCCCGCCGTGATATTGCTGGAATATTGCTAAAAGCGACGTAAAACCATTCTCACTCACTCACTCATGAGTTGACTCATTACACCTGAGATGCATTACAACCCACTTTCATTAGAACCCAGACCCAATAGATCCTACAATCATTAAACCTCAGACCCATAACATTCCAGACTCGTAAAACTCCAGATACTTGTGAATAGGTCTTCAGCAACCCATACTCACTGAAAAAGGCAACTATGCTTGTCGTAAGAGGCGACTAACAGGGTTGCTTGGTCAGGCTCGCTGACTTGGTTGATGCATGTCATGGTTTCCCAATTGCGTGGATCGATGCTCATGATGTCAATCACTTGATTGTCTGGTCCAGACTTGATTATTTACAGACCGCCGTCATAAACCTGGAATATTGCTGAGTGCGGCATTAAACAACAAACAAACAAACAAACAAACAAATAACACAGACATAAAACCCCAGGCCTGTTCAGTTTAAATGTTAGAAAATGTTTTGGGTCAGAATGGGTTTTTCAGGATCTCATGATGGTCAAAAGAGCTGTCTGTTGACGTTTTTTTATTGTATATTTGACAAAAAAACAGACTGTCATCAAAAGTTTTAATATATTTCACTGGTGTGAAATTCAGGTTTGGGGATTAGTAAACTTATCAGACAAAATGATTTTGCTTTGAATGTTTGGGCGGTGAAGCAGTGCTGGTTAAATTGTTTTCTCATCAAACTGAAGGCTCAGATTCAATTCCCAACATGGGTACAATGCATGAAGCCCATTACTGGTGGCCCCGCCATGATATTGCTGGAATATTTCTGAAAGCTTCCAAAGTATAACACTCATTTATTCAGTTTGAAGGTTTGAATGGGACCCTAATCAATTATTGCACAGTCATCTAAGGTGCCACAAGCCCCTGTGCAGAGTTGCATCCTTTAGTTCTGCCAGAATCCTGGGTTCAAATCCGAGGTTCACCCTGATTATGTTTCTAAATTTGCAACACTGTATCTGTGCCCCAGGGTTTCACTAGAATGGTAAACATCCTAAAAGACCTGCATCACTTCAGGCCAACCTCCAAAATGAAGCTGACATGCTGTGATATTACCGAAAGACTGTTCAAAGTGGTGAATTCGTCACTCACTATCGCCTTCTTCCTATTCATTTCAGCTATGTGACCGAGGTCCTGCTAGCCGGGGCCTCTCAGGAGGAACTAAGAAAGACCATCACCCTTATCAAGAGTAAGTTGTTGCCCTACTTCACACACAGAGATACCATAGGGACTCAGGAAGACTATCACCCTTATCAAGAGTAAGTTGTGGCCCTAGTTCACGCACGGAGGTACCATAGGAACTCAGGAAGACCATCACCCTTATCAAGAGTAAGTTGTGGCCCTAGTTCACGCACGGAGATACCATAGGGACTCAGGAAGACCATCACCCTTATCAAGAGTAAGTTGTAGCCCTAGTTCACACACGGAGGTACCATAGGGACTCGGGAAGACCATCACCCTCATCAAGAGTAAGTTGTTGCCCTACATCACACATAGAGGTACCATAGGGACTCAGGAAGACCATCACCCTTATCAAGAGTAAGTTGTTGTCCTAGTTCACACACAGAGATACCATAGGGACTCAGGAAGACCGTCACACTTATCAAGAGTAAGTTGTTGCCCTAGTTCACACACAGAGCTACCATAGGGACTCAGGAAGACCATCACCCATATCAAGAGTAAAATTGTTGCCCTAGTTCACACACAGAGCTACCATAGGGACTCAGGAAGACCATCACCCTTATCAAGAGTAAGTTGTTGCCCTAGTTCACACACAGAGATACCATAGGGACTCAGGAAGACCGTCACACTTATCAAGAGTAAGTTGTTGCCCTAGTTCACACACAGAGATACCATAGGGACTCAGGAAGACCATCACCCATATCAAGAGTAAGTTGTTGCCCTAGTTCACACACAGAGCTACCATAGGGACTCAGGAAGACCATCACCCATATCAAGAGTAAAATTGTTGCCCTAGTTCACACACAGAGCTACCATAGGGACTCAGGAAGACCATCACCCTTATCAAGAGTAAGTTGTTGCCCTAGTTCACACACAGAGATACCATAGGGACTCAGGAAGACCGTCACACTTATCAAGAGTAAGTTGTTGCCCTAGTTCACACACAGAGATACCATAGGGACTCAGGAAGACCATCACCCATATCAAGAGTAAGTTGTTGCCCTAGTTCACACACAGAGATACCATAGGGGCTCAGGAAGACCATCACCCATATCAAGAGTAAGTTGTTGCCCTACATCACACATAGAGGTACCATAGGGACTCAGGAAGACCATCACCCTTATCAAGAGTAAGTTGTGGCCCTCGTTCACATACAGAGATACCATAGGGACTCAGGAAGATCATCACCCTTATCAAGAGTAAGTTTTTGCCCTAGTTCACACACAGAGCTACCATAGGGACTCAGGAAGACCATCACCCATATCAAGAGTAAAATTGTTGCCCTAGTTCACACACAGAGCTACCATAGGGACTCAGGAAGACCATCACCCTTATCAAGAGTAAGTTGTTGCCCTAGTTCACACACAGAGATACCATAGGGACTCAGGAAGACCATCACCCTTATCAAGAGTAAGTTGTTGCCCTAGTTCACACACAGAGATACCATAGGGACTCAGGAAGACCATCACCCTTATCAAGAGTAAGTTGTTGCCCTACATCACACATAGAGGTACCATAGGGACTCAGGAAGACCATCACCCTTATCAAGAGTAAGTTGTAGCCCTAGTTCACACACAGAGGTACCATAGGGGCTCAGGAAGACTGTAACCCTTATCAAGAGTAAGTTGTTGCCCTAGTTCACACACAGAGCTACTGTAGGGACTCAGGAAGACCATCACCCTTATCAAGAGTAAGTCGTTGCCCTAGTTCACGCACAGAGATACCATAGGGACTCGGGAAGACCATCACCCTTATCAAGAGTATGCCCTAGTCAGTATACTGTCTCCGAGCCGACCAGTCCTTGTTTTAGCCCCTTAATGCCGACCGCAGACAGGGTAGCAACAAGTACCATCTTTTAACGTCTTTGGGTATGATGCGGCTGGGGATCGAACCCTGGACCTTCCGCTCTCCCGGCAGACGCTCTACCACTAGACCACGGAGGCGGTCAGTTCACACTCAGAGGTATCATTGTTGATAGTCTGTCATTGTACCCTGACAGCATGGATCGTTGCTCACAATATCAATCAACTTGAGGATGTGGGTCAGACTTGAAAGTTTACAGGCCAGCATCACACACCTGTAATATTGCTGTGTGTAGTTTCATTCCACCTGCCATGTTTCAGAGATCAAGATGATGGTGAAGAACCAGGACACGCTGCAGCGCGACGTTGTGCAGCTCATCCAGCGCAAACTGGAGAAGTGCCGCAACCAGGAGAACAACCCCGAGAGTGAAGTGTAAGTTGTCTCCCCTTGACTCTTCTCGGTTTTAAGTTTGAAGTCCAGAAAAATACATTTTTTGCCTTTTAGTTTATCAGTAACTGTTATTATTCATTACCTGTGCGGTCAAACATCAGGGTTCATAAAAATCATATGTGCCCTAGGGTCATATCATGTGACGAGACAACAGTGTATTGTTTCCGTCATCCGGATGGCATTGTTGACATCATTCGAATCTTATTGAGGCGTGAGGTCGGAATGACGTCACACTAGAAACAATGTTATAGCTGAAAATTGTTGACGTCATTCGACAAATTGTGGTTCCGCTGCTGATCCAACTTGCTGTCATTACAGGTAAACACTAAAATTTGTCTCTGTGTGTAGACATTGTTGACATTTAGAGTTGAGGGGACACGGATGGCCCAGTCGTCTAAGGTGCCTCGATTAGCTATGCAGAGTTGCGTCCCTTGGGTACGACAGAAACCTATGATTGTGGGTTCCAATCCTGGTTCGCCCCCATTATGTTTCTAGGTTTGTCAGCACCATAGCCGTGCACCTGCATCACTTCGGGCTTTCCTTCCACATTCATGCCATGATATAACTGGAATGATGTTAAAGTTGATGCAGGCAGGTAATTTGGGTAAATGGAAATCTGAGGCAGGGCCTCAAAGAGCAAACTTATAGACATGTGTCGGAATTCAATCCTTTTGCAACTGATTTTGTGTGTTTTAGGTACAAACGTAAGATGGAGGAGATGTTTGAAGATGAGGACGAAATGCGATCACAGAAGAGGGCACGGATAGATGAGGTACGACTCTATCAGAGATTTACCAGGGTAACAGGTTAGCTCAGCTGGTCCAAGTGTACATAAACTAGCCACCTCATTGTCAGTGATTCACGATCTTGTACATACACTAGGTTCCTCTACACCAATGAAGAGGTAGTGAGGTAGCCTGGAGGTTAAATCATCTGCTCATCACATCGAAGGCCTGGGTTCGATTCTTCACATGGGTACAGTGGTATCCCCCATAAAACCATACTCTCACTCACTCACTCACCCGACCACACACCCACCCGACCACACACCCACCCACACACCCACCCACTCACTCACTCAAACAGCTATTAAGAGACCTTGTGATGACCCGAGGTAGAATAGGCCTTCAAAGCAGCCCATGCTTGCTTTAAAAGGCGACTATGCTTGTCATAAGAGGCGACTAACAGGATCGGGTGGTCGGGCTTGCTGACTTGGTTGATGCATGTTATTGTATCCCCATTGCGTGGACACAAATTTCGACCCATGAAGATCCAGGGTAGAATAGGTCTTTAGCAACCCATGCTTGCTGTAAAAGGCGACTATGCTTGTTGTAAGAGGCGACTGACAGGATCGGGTGGTTAGGCTCGCTGACTTGGTTGATGCATGTCATCGATCCCAATTGTGTGGATCGATGCTCATGATATCAATCACTGGAATATCTGGTCCAGACTCGATTATTTACAGACCGTCATCATATAGCTGGAATATTGCTGAGTGCGGAGTTAAGCAACAAAACAACCAACCAACCAGACACAAATTTCAATTTTTACAACATGCACTCTTTGCACTCAATATTAGGTTGCACTTTTCAATAATACGTTGCACTGATGCATGTTTTATGTAGCTAAATCGAACCCTGTTAAGGTTCTGTGAATATCAAATATTATAGAATTAGGTCGTTGTGTATACATAAAGTACCTACAAATTCCCACCATATGTTGGGATTCTGGGATAGGTTTTGTCCCCAGCAATACATGCTTATCATAAGAGTTGACAAATTGGCTCAGGGTCATTGTACCCCGGCGTGGGATGTTGTACATTTATATGAATCACTGGATTGTCTGGTTTGTGTACATGCTGCAACCATACAGCAGGTATATTATAAGTCAGCATTAGGACTAGTAGAAAATTGTCCTTTTTAGGGGTTTTGCTATATGTTATCATTATAAGGATTAGTTGGCTGAAACTGTTAGTATCTATCGCTGAAAATGTTGCATTAAACTGAACAAATGAAGTCTAAATATCACAAGAGATTAATCCGTTATCTAAGGCTACAGTATCTGTGGTGAACCACATTCCCGAAGCAAGGGAGGTAACTGACTGTAAAAGTCTAGTTTCCACCTTCCAAACCAGACTGGAATTATGGAGTTCTATTTAGGCTGGACCAATGGTCTGTGCATAGTCCAATCAAAATCGTGTAACACATCCGGTTCTTAAACTGCCATGCAGATTTTGGGGGATTGCAAGATTTACAAAGCATGTGTACCGTCACCTTAGCATTATCAGATATTTTCCAAATACTTTCATGTTTTTAATCAAGGTGCTCCATGTTTTGATACACTTTGTGAAGTGAGACCTATTTTATTACAATAAAGATCTTGATTATTGATCAGATAGCCTTTCCTGGGGTCGCCATTTTGTTTGAAGCAAATGCAGTGATATGAGAGGTGGAAACTGATTGGTCAATAGGAGGGACATAGAAGGGACATAACTCATAACAGCCACTGGTGGCATTACGATCGAGCCCAGAAATTCCAGACTAGTTGGGCAAGGGTGGAAACTGGACTTTAATAGTCAGTTAACTCCCTTGCCTCGGGAAACTGCAGGTGGACAGGCTCGATGACATGGTTGGTGGCATGTCAGATTTGATTATTTGAGGAACACGGTCATGTAACTGGAAAATTGTTGAGTGTGAAGTTAAACAAAATGCAAACAAAAAGTAATGGATTGATCCTTTTTGCCAAAAAATATGTCTGTAATGTGAAGTCTTTGATGTTAAATTAAACAGGAAAAGTGCAATGAATGGTCCAGTGAAGATGGAAAATATGTGTTTGTATCATTTCAGGAAACAAGAGTTGCTGATAGTGAATTGCTGGTTTAGCAGCAACATCGTCAACACCTGAATCATTCATGGGGATTCATTGAATCATGACTTGTATATTATCCTATCATATCCTTCATGGAATCCAGCTATATGATTAGCTAATGACCGTCATGTGACTCAAGTCGGCTGGCTGCTCTGTACTGAGGTCATGACACCATAGTTTGATGATATAAATCATCCTGGGGGAGCCTGTTTACATGTAAAGTGATCATCCCTTGGCTGTCACAAGAATCTTCAATAACAAGATGTTCTGGATTTTCCTGAAAGTTTTTGTACACTATTTGACCTTGGTCCATTTGACCTTGGTCCATCAAGCTCGTAAAATCCACACAATTACGGGGGCACAGGTGGCCCAGTCGTCTAAGGTGTCGCGATTCGCTGTGCAGAGTTGCGTCCCTTGGGCACGCCAGAAACCTATGATTGTGGGTTCGAATCCCGGTTCGCCCAGATTATGTTTCTAGGTTTGTCAGCATCATACCCGTGCTCATGGGTTTCACCAAAGTGGTAAACGTCTGAGACCTGCATCACTTTGGGCTTTCCTCCCACATTTAGCTGACACGCCACGATATAACTGGAATAATGTTAAAAGCGGCGTTAAACCTAACTCACTCACTCACTCACTCACTCCACACAATTACGCCATTGACACCTGTACCTTATATTACAAGCAGGAGGTTTCGAGTTGTGAGACATCTTCACTCTGACCATATTGGCTGTGACCAAGGCTAATACATTGGTCACTGGTTTGTGAGAGAAACTTGAGTGCAGGGTTAAACAACAAACAAACAAATAAAACATACAGACAGAAACGGATCATCCTACTCCAATGGCGCATCATGTATCTAGCTTGACAAATGTGCCTAACACCCATGTTTTTGTCATGACTCAATTGTCAATTCTGGTGCTGAAATCTCAATATGGTTGTATATCATTGACTAATTGTTTTGTTTGATGTCCAGAAACACTTAAGAAATGTTTTGTGGTCTACTTGTGATGAATAAATGAAGTGAATGTACATTTTGTCCTGTAGTTTCTACGTACATTGTAGCCATCAGTAATGATCAGTTGTAGGTAAGTTGGCGTTAGAAATTGGCACTAGTCCAAGTCCTTGCCAAACTGCCCAATAGTTAAGGTATCCTAAGTACGAGTATGAGTTTTACCCTTTTTAAGGGTTTTGCTGCATTATGAGAACTAGTGGCCTAAAACTGTTAGTTTCTATCTAAGTAGTACCTATTTGTTTTAGGTTAATAGTCTCAACTGATTGTAAGTATATATTTGTTGAAGGTAAATAGTACATTTCTGTTGTAGGTAATAATACCAGTCAGTTGTAGGTAAATAGTACTTCCGTATATAGCCCATCGGAAAAGAGGTGAGGTGAAATTGGTTTAACGTCGTGTCCAAAATTATTGCACTTATATAGCGACGTGCATGCACATGTATGTGTGTGACTCCGTGCTGACCTGTCCTTGTTTTAGCCCCTAAACTGAGCGCCAGACAGGGTAACAACAAGTAGCATCTTTTAACGTCTTGGTATGACGCGGCCAGGGATGGAACCCCAGACCTTTCGCTCTCCGTGCGGACGCTCTACCTCTAGACCACAGAGGCAGTCTCCATCGGAAGAGAAAAGCAATCCAGGATAAAGACGGTTTTGTCATTCTCCACGCGATCAAGACAGCTGCCCTTCAGACGACTATTTGATACCATAAATTCTAGCAGCAGTCATGTAAGGGAACGTTGCTGAATAAGCTTAAAATAGTCTGTAGGTGAGCCACAGGACCTATACTCGATAGCCTTTGATTTCCAACTGGTTTGAAACCCCAGAAACTGTCAAGCTTTTTATAAACTGCTGTTCCCTAATCAGTGCATCTTCCCAAGGCAAGGGCTTCAACTGACTACGAAAGTCCAGGTTCCGAGGCAAGGACGTTAACTGACTATAGAATTCCAGTTTCCACCCTTGCCGAAGGCTGGAATTCCGGAGATACATTTTGGCTGGACTAACGAGTCTATGCATAGTCCAATCAAAATCGCAAAACGATCTCGACACCAAGTTCGTAAACAACATGGATTTCAACTGCATATTTCGGTCGACTGAAGAATTTGCCAAGCATGTGTACCGCCAACTGGACGTCTTCATATATTTTGCAAATCTCATGTGATCTGATGCACTTCGCGAGGTAAGGCCCGGTTTTTTTTACAATATAGAACTTGATTATCGATCAGATTGTTTTTGACTGGGCGCCGCCATTTTGTTTGAAGCAGTTGCAAGTGATATGGTAGGTAGAATATGATTGGTCAATAGGAGGCACATCGAAGGGACCTAACTCGTAATAGCCGCTGATGGAGCCACGATCGAGCCTGGAAATTCCAGCCTAGTTCGGCAAGGGTGGAAATTGGACTATTATGGTCAGTAAACGCCCTTGCCACGGGAAGATGAAATCAGTGATGAACAGTATGTATTTGGTTTGTCCAAGACCCAGAGCGGAGGTCTACCATCTACAGTGGGGAGTGAGGTCGCTGCTGCCCTGTAGTAGAGACAGTTAGGTAATACTATCAGGGTCACTTTATATAGTATGGGGTAGTAGCTTAGTCTTGTGGTTAAAGCATTCGCTCGTCACTCCAAAGGCCAAGATCCATTTCCCACTTGGGCACAATATGTATGTCATTTCTGCAGTCTCCCGATGTTATATTGCTAGAATATTGTTACAAACATCGTAAGACATACTCACCCCTTGAAGGAACAGTGTGGAACCCTTGAAGACATTTATGTAAAACATTTATATATAATTTCCAAGGACAACTACATCAAAGGCCGAGATCCATTCCACAATATGTAAATGTCATTTTCATTAAATTCAAGGACGCCAACATCCATATATAAACTCATTGTTATGTGAAAGTGTTAATCAGTGCCTTCAACAGTGTTCATGGTTCTCGAGGCATCATTTGATCTACACACGTTTGTACAGGTAAAGAGGCTGGTTCTTCCCTTCAGACAGTGTGTAATAGCCATCTCCATTGGGAGTCCAGGCAACAGATTCTCCACGTGGCTCAGGATGGTAGGGTAATTTTGCAGGTGCGTTCTTTACAGCAGACACATAATCGCCGTCAGGCACCGCCCAATAGTACACTGCATCACGGGCCTTGATCAACATCTCTTTGCCGTCGGGGGAGATGTCACAGCCGTTGGGGTCGTTGTGGGTGGAGGTGATGGGGACGCGCTCGGAGGGACCTGCATCCACGGTGGTACCCCCCCAGCCGAAGGATGGAAGTTTGGCAATGAGGCCACGTCCTCCATGGACCTTGGACACCACGTAGGTGTTTCCGGCTGGGTCAACCATCACACACTCGCAGTCCTGCTCTGCCCATCTGTAATATATAATCGATGGGTAACGCATTTTTAACATAAATAAAAGCGAGAAAAACATTTCCATAGTCGCAAGAAATGTTGCACCAAAAACATACATGTCATTGTATTCCAATTTCGTGGATCGATGCTCATGATGTCAATCACTGGATTGTCTGGTCCAGACTCGATTATTTACAGACCGCCGTCATATAGCTGGAATATTGCTGAGTGCGGCAATTCTCGCACAACCTTAACTTTCCAGATCTTAGGAAAATGTGAGTCAGAAAAAAAACTCAGCATCCAGAGGGTTAAACAACAAACAAACAAAGATATACTTATCACCTGAGTCGGGGCGGTCGGGTAGCCTAGTGGTTAAAGCGTTCGCTCGTCACGCCGAAAACCCGGGTTCGATTCGCGACATGGGTACAATGTGTGAAGCCCATTTCTGGTGTCCCCCGCCATGATATTGCTGGAATATTGCTAAAAGCGGCGTAAAATCAAACTCACTCACTCACTCACTAATCACCTGAAGTGCAACTGGTCCAGGACATTGAGCGTCTGGTCCTTGATGACAGCCGGTTCCTTCACCCTGTAGATAATGTCCTTGGCGCCGTCGCCCGCGTGGTCCCCCGTCTCTGCGATGTAGATGCACGACCCCGCCCCAGGACACGGGCCCACCGCCAGGTCCTCCCAGTCGTAGTTGGCAATGTGAGCGATCTTCATTGTGGCCAGAAGCTTGCCTAGATTGAGAGGACACGTAGGGTTATAGTACAACGAGAGAGAGTGAGTGAGTGAGTTAGGTTTAACGCCGCTTTTAACAGTATTCCAGTTATATCGCGGCGTGTCAGCTTAATGTAGGAGGAAAGCCCGAAGTGATGCAGGTCTCAGACGTTTACCCCTTCGGTGAAACCCACGAGCACGGGTATAGTGCTGACAAACCTAGAAACATAATCGGGGCGAACCGGGATTCGAACCCACAATCATAGGTTTCTGGCGTGTCCAAGGGACGCAACTCTGCATAGCGAATCGCGGCGCCTTAGACGACTCGGCCACCTCAGCGAGAGAGAGAGAGAGAGAGAGAGAGAGAGAGAGAGAGAGAGAGAGAGAGAGATGGGAGATCGTTACTCCCATTCTTTCAAAAAGGCTTACAATAGTTAGTCGTTGTGCTGAGGTGATTGTTACTCCCTTTCTTTAAAATAGTCTGACAATTGTCACAGTGCTAAGGTGATCGTTACTCTCATTCTTTAACATAGGCTTACGCTAGTCGTTGGGCTAAGGTAATCATTTAACGATGTTACACCCATTCTTTAAAATAGGCTTACGAGAGACAGAGAGGTATTTGTGTCATTCACATACTACTTGCAAATGCAAATATTCAAATATGATATTGATCAAAACAATTAAATAATTATCATCTAAATTGACAAAAAACAATCTTCGGAGACAGAATAGAAGCGTTCAGCAAATACATACCTGAGTCAGCAGCTATTGCGAATATCCTACTGCTGTCCCCTTTGTCGTTCTGGGTGTACAGAACACCAGCGTGTTCCCTGCTGGCGGCGAGTCCAGACGCCTCGTCAACTTCATGGCTCCCAACTATTCCCATCTGTTGAGCAGAGCTAAATTGGGGAGTAACTGGAAAATAGGAAGAATAAAAGTATGTAACTCACTTTCACTTTCTTGCCGTGACAAATTGTATATTAGTTGATATGATGGACCGAGTGGTCAGGCTTGGTGATTGGTTGATTCATCGTCATTGTACCGAGACCGAGCTCATAATATCAATCACTGGATTGTCTGATCCAGACTCTGTTACTACGGGCCACCGTATTATACCTAGAATATCGCTGAGGGTGGGGTTAAAAAACAAACAACCAAAAGCTGTCAACGTGGTTGTTTGTTTGTTGTGGGAAAGCTCTTCCAGCTGTAAAAGGGCGTCCTGCAAAATGACCAAGCACGGGCCAGACAAACCAGTGATTGATATTATGAGTTACCTCCCGCGCCGTCGGGTGCGCTGACACCCAGTCAATCAAGACACCCAGACATGCCACCTGGTCCTTTAGGTCTGGAGGAAGAAATCACTAACTGAAATACATTTTTTGTTGACGATTAGCTTTTACCAATAATATGTTAGCGTTAGAGTATTTAATTTCTTGATCATTAGTAGAATCTTTGAGTTTTCTTACAACCGCATTAGTCCTTTTCGTTTATTTAAGGTTTTCATTTAATTTATTTGTGTATACATTATGTATTTCTTAATAGAATGTTAATTAATAAAGTTTGTTCGAGAAATAAATTCATATAGCATTTTTTAAAACTATTGCTACAACCTGTCACCCCTACAATTGGAGATGTTATGTTCGATTTCCTAGAAATGACTTGTCTCGCTGATTTCCAAGACATTACTTGATGAGTATAAGCAGTGCACAACGGGTTGCAATGAAATTAAAACACATATCTTTGGACTCAGTTTGGAGTGCTATTATTTTGTCAACTTCTTTTTGAAAACCAATGTGTTTTGAACTAGGGAAAACTGTGTATTTCAACTTTGAACTTCAGTAATAATAATGGTTACAGTTATAACTACCTGTGACCCCTTTTCAGACTTTTCTGACATAGGGGAGTTTGTACCCAATACAATGACGCATTGCAAGAGGACATCGTTTTCAGAGAGCCCTTGTCGTCATTGACATATTACAGTAAAGTAGGTTTATAACGAACGCGCTTATACGGAACTGACGGATATAACGAACTCATTTTTGTCCCGACTATTTGCCATAGTTATGCTGTATATATGCTTATAACGAACTACGGTTATAACAAACTAAAGTTAGAGGTCCCGTTGAGTTCGTTTTAACCGTAGTTTACTGTATTTCTAAAAAAGCTCGGTTCCAAATTAACATAAGAGTTCTTTTCTCTACAGTGGGGGTACATCAAATTTCAAAACACAGTAGGTTTATATCCTAATTAAATATGTTTCAGTGCACTTTTCTGTTGTTGAGCGGCTGTGGCGGACATCAGTAACTAGCTCTGAAAAATATGAAAGACTGACGACCTACCTGCTCTTGAAATGTGAACACATACTAGCAATACACAAATAGCATACATCTTTAGCGTTGAGACACCGACTGCCACGTAACTCTGACCGTGATGTGATCCTTTATATATATGCCCCTTATCGGGGACAATGTCACCCTTCACTGACAATAGATAAGTGTTCCACATACAGCTGAGCGGCCATCACCTTTGGCTTGGAGGCACCGTTGTTAACGCTGCCAGATTACAGGTAATCAATGTGGGTCAGATCTAAATGGAGGGCCACTTGAATAAACGTGACTTCTTTCAGCAATCCCTAGAACGTATATTTGTCGCATAGAGTAAATAACGTCAAAACCCTTTCCATATCCAATAGAAATCTCTGCAGTAAGCAGAGTTGATTGTACTATTTCGACTATAGCACGAACCTGTGTTTCGACAATAGCATGAGTGAGTGAGTGAGTGAGTTAATATTTAACGTCACATCGGCAGTATTTCAGCCATATCGTGACGAGAACTACATTAATAAGACATATATGGAGACGAAATAAAAACATGTCAACGATGCACAGTACAATAACTAGTATATCACAGTTTTGAATTAAAACTAGTTGAGAATATTAAAAGGCAGTAAGTATTAGAGAACAGCACAATATAAAAATGGGCTAGAGATCGTCAGTCACTGAAGGGTGTTTCGAGTATAGCATGAACCTGTGTTTATGAATCCTTATCAAATAGTAATGATACCAGGTGTTCGCGAAAAGATGAGCATGTCCTGCCCCACCGGTGGCACCCGTCACAAACACATGCAAAGGCAAAGAAATGTACTCTGGGTTCATGTACAAAAGGAATCAACTGAACAAAGGAATACATAATGCTTAAGAATACACTAACCTTCATGTGTGTGTGAGCAATGACGAGGTCGTGGTCGTGGTCGTGGTCGAAGACGTGTGTGTGTTGAAGGGGGTAGGGTGTTTGTAGAGTGACGCGCGCGTGTGTGTGCGCGCGCGTTTGTGTTGATAGTTGGCGCGTGTGTTTTGGGGGCAGTGGGGGTGGGAGTTCCGTTGGTAGTAGGGGGCGAGGCCTTACCCCCGCACTCTCATCTGGTTTGTTATAACCGTAGTGAGGCACGGGTGGCCCAGTCGTCTAAGGCGCCGTGATTCGCCGTGTAGAGTTGCGTCCCTTGGGCATGCCAGAAACCTATGATTGTGGGTTCAAATCCCGGTTCGCCCCGATTATGTTTCTAGGTTTGTCAGCACCATACCCGTGCTCGTTGGTTTCACCGAAGTGGTATACGTCTGAGACCTGCATCACTTCGGGCTTTTCTCCGCGACACGCCGCGATATAACTGGAATACTGTTAAAAGCGACATTAAACCCAACTCACTCACTCACTCACTATAACCGTCGTTCACTGTACTGACGATGCGGATCGACCGATCGGACTCAAACATTACGGTGAATGGGTGATTTCATATTTAACCGACCCGTGAAGTTCCGGGTTAGAATAGGTCTTCAGCAACCCATGCTTGTCTTAAAAAGCGACTATACTTGTCTTAAGTGGCGTCTAACGGGATCGGAGGTCAACAACAAAAAAACATCTGCTAGAATATCTCATTTGCATATTTATCGAAGTTTATCGAAATTATTTATTGCGTCGATAACGCTATCCATTACACGATACAAAAACTATATTTTAGCTCTACAGGAAAACGGGTGCAGTTTCACTATCCCACGACGACAGTGCCCACGGCAGAGTACAGATAGATGGGTTTATAAAGTCCCTCGCCTACAGTGTAATAGCCGTCACCTTTGGTCGTCCATGCGACCGACTCTCCAAAAATCTCCTTCTGATCATAGGTCACTGTCGTAGCCTTGCCCGTCGCCGCCCCGACGTAGTCTCCGTCGGGGACGGAGTAGTAATAGATGTCGTCCCTGGCTTTGATGAGCATTGCCTTTCCGTCGAGGGAGATGTCGCACCCAAGAGGGTCGTAGTGAGCGGTGCTGGTTGAGAGTCGGGATGTGACGGTGAGGTCAGCGGGCTGGCCACCCCAGCCGAATGAGGGAAGCTTGGCCATAAGGCCTTGGCCACCCTGAACACGGGAGACAATGAAGGCGTTGCCGGCAGGATCGACCATCAGACACTCACTCTCTGGCTCGCCCCATCTGGACAGAGATTCACAAGGAATGGGTGAGTGTTGGGGTCAGTGGGTTGATGAGTGAGCGAGTTGTTGGTGTTTGAGTGGGTGAGTTTGATGGTTGAGTAGGAAGTGTTTGCGTGAGTGGGTTGATGAGGTTGGTTGGTTGGTTTGTTGTTTAACACCGCACTCAGCAATATTCCACCTATATGACGGCGGTCTGTAAATAATCGAGTCTGGACCAGACAATCCAGTGATTGATATCATAAGCATTGGGGTCGATGACATGCATCGACCAAGTCAGCGATCCTCACCACCCGATCCCGTTAGTCGCCTTTTACGACAAACATAGTCACATTTACGGCAAGCATGGGTTGCTGAAGACCTATTCTAGCCCGTATCTTCACGGGTTAAATAGGTTGATGAGTGAGCGAGTTGTTGGTGTTTGAGTGGGTGAGTTTGATGGTTGAGTAGTGAGCGTTTGCGTGAGTGTGTTGATGAGTGGGGCAATGGGTTTGTTTGTTTGTTGTTTAACGCCGCTTTCAACAATATTCCAGCTATATGACGGCGTTCTGTAAGTAATCGATCTGGACCAGACAATCCAGTTCTTGACATCATAAGCATCGATCCAATCAATTGGGATACGATGACATGCATCAACCAAGTCAGCGAGTCTGACCACCCGATCCCGTAATGAATATTTTGTGAATATATATAATAATCTTTCAGAATTCCATATGTACTTTAAATAGATCTGTTATAGTTTTCAGTTACACCGCTATTCAGTAATATGAATGTCTGAAATGTACGACCTTTTAAATGAGACATGGTTATTCATAAATACAAAACAAGCGTTAATAAAACGGAAGAACTCTATTTCTATCATATTCGCTGTCTTATTTTTATTTACGGGGCCGTTTTCGCCAAAGATAGGTGCAGGCCGTCCTCGCGGTACCAGCCAATGTGACCTTCCACATTGAGGTCAGCCGAGTGACGACACGTGTGTGGTTTACAGTGAAGCCGTGCAATATCACAAGTCAAAACACAAGGCATTATGTTTTGTTCGTTTGTTTGGTTTTAAACGCCGAACTCAGTAATACTCCAGCTATACAACGGCGGTCTGTAAATAATCGAGTCTGGACCAGACAATCCAGTGACTGACATCATGAACATCCCTTTTTAAACCCACCCCCAAACCCGATCCCAGAGCCATCACCACAACCAAACCCACGTCCACCCCTTCCCCCAACCCCACACCCGCGCCCACGCCCACGCCCACATTTGCACCCGATCCCAGAACCACCTCCACCCTCACCTACACTTACAACCCACATCGCTCTCACCCCACCAGAATATCACATTGTCCTTACATCGCGTCTACAAGATTTGTTTGTGTGTTGTTTAACGCCGCACTCAGCAATATTCAAGCTGTATGACGACGGTCTGTAAATAATCAAGTCTGGAACAGACAATCCAGTGATTGACATCATGAGCATCGATCCACGCAGTTGGGATACAATGACATGCATCAACCAAGTCCTGACCATCCGATCCCGTTAGTCGCCTCTTACCACAAGCAGAGTCGCCTTTTACGTCAAGCATGGGTTGCTGAAGACCTATACTACCCCGGATCTCCCGAGTCTCGCGTCTACCAGAAGGAACTGATCACCTGTACTGCAGCTTGTCCAGGTAAGCTATGGCTTTATCCTCCAATGTAGCTGGCTCCCTCACCCTGTAGACGGTGTTCTGTGAAATGCCGTTGTGGCTGCCGATGTCCCCAATATAGATGCAGGAGCCGGAGTCGGGACAGGGACCCACGGCGATGTCCTCCCAATCCCAGTTGGTCGCACCCCTGATCGTCAGGGTGGCTTTAAGAACACCTGTCAGAAAGTCCGGCAAATCGAGTTAGAATTCAAGATTTATAAGACAGTGGAAATTGAGTCAAATGTTTATCTTTATGTATTTCGTACAAACTGAAGACAATATCAGTGAGGCGTACTGAAAGTTATATTTATTTTGGTTTGTTTAACGCCGCACTCAGCAATATTCCAGCTATACGACAACCAGTCCAGTGATTGACATCATGAGCATTGATCCACTCAATTGGGATACGATGACATGCATCAACCAAGTTAGCGAGCCTGACCACCCGATCCCGTTAGTCGCCTCTTACGACAAGCATAGTCGCATTTTACGGCAAGCATGGGTTGCTGAAGACCTATTCTACCCCGTTCACGGATATGTACTGGAAGTAGATCGGGTGACATTACATAATATTTCATATGACTGAAATATCGTTTATTTTTATATTAATGCTTTGACGGTAAAGTAATGAAATACAAAATTAAAGCTAAATGCCTCGATTAAAAACTTGTAGAAGAGGTGTTAAAAGAGCCCTTTCGGTCCACCGGAAATAACTAATAAAACGTATATACCCAATGGTTTCGAACACTGGTATGGTGCCAGTGAACCAAAAATCGTTATTAGGGATTCGAACCAATGATCACTAGATTTGTGGCATAAGCCGTGCCATATTAAAACCATAAAAAGGGTATTATCAAAACGAACTATTTGCGGAAGGATCAGTCGTTATTCAGTTTACTGTGAATCGTGTAATATCCCTACGACCTTGCTGCACGAGGTATTCGGGAGATAACGGAATAAGCCGAGTAGACACGAGTGAGGTTGATGCTGACCTGTGTTTGCGTCGATGGCATACACCTTGTTCTCAACGGTGCTACTGGTGTGATCGTTGATTCCATACAAAATCCCATCATGAATCCGACTGGCGGCCAATCCAGAAATTTCGTCCAACGCAGCGCTCTGAAGACTGGACACTCTGATTGCGTCGTTGAAAGTCGGCACTGCCGCTTGATTGACAAAAACAACAGTGAGTGAGTGGGTATGGTTTTACGCCGCTTTCAACAATATTCCAGCAATATCACGACGGGGGACACCAGAAATTGGCTTCACACATTGTACCCATGTCGGAAATCGAAACCGGGTCTTTGGCGTGACGAGCGAACGCTTTAACAATTAGGCTACCCGACCGCCCCTGTGGAAGGAAACGATGAGAGCGATGACACACAGTCATACATTCTAACAACTCGTTTCTCGGCTCTTACAAGCAAGTGATACAAGGCCTATTTTGTCCTGTTTCATCCAAGGGGCCGCTATTTTACTAAGTATACTATATCCTACCTGAAAGGTGTGCTATCGCCAGCACTACAGCTGTCAAGTACAACATGTTTCCTCTATCTGAAAATTAAACTCACTCGTGACAGACTCGGAATTTCAAACATTCGTGTCCACTCGGCAATTCCACTTGTTCACTGGGGGTTGCGCAGGTTATGATGTCTTGAAGACAATTCTATTTTCAGCGATGTCTGTGTGAGCGAGTGAGAGTGAGTGTGTGTTTGAGTGAGTGAGTGATTGAGTGACTATAATGTACCATCATCAGGCAAAAATGAGACAAGTTTTTATCTGAGGTAAAAATATATTTTAGTAAAGAGAACGCGGCCATACATGGAGTTGATTAAATGTGTTCATTCCGGTTGAGGGGCGGTCGGATAGCCTAGTGGTTAAAGCGTTCGCTCGTCACGCCGACGATCCGGGTTCGAATCCCGACATGGGTACAATGTGTGAAGCCAATTTCTGGTGTCCCCCGCCGTGATATTGCTGGAATAGTGCTAAAAGCGGCGTAAAACCAAACTCACTCACTCACTCACTCATTCCGGTTGATATCCATATGTAAGGATAAGAATTTATGGATGAACAACTTCTTTTTTACACTTAAGAGCGACGTTTCGGTGTAGGTTCTAACACCGTTATCAAGCAAGTGATATACAGAGTGTGATTGGCAAGTATATATACAGGTAGGAGGCAGTGTTTATACAGAAGAGTAGAGTAGATATCAGATGTAGTTATACTCGAGTGGAGAAGCCTGTTATGTACACACAAGGGTAGTAACGATAGTTATCGGTGAAGTCAGTGACATAAACAAAGAACTAAGCCAGTCATATAAACAACAGGATTATGGCTGATTGGGGTCTTTGATGAGTTGATGGTACGCCGGGGATATGTAATAGCCTTGGTCACGGTTGATTGACGGCTGGAGTCTTTTGATGTTGATGGCTTCTTGTAGTTTCCTGATCTTGAAGTCTTTGAGGTTGGTGGCGAGGGTTGTGCCTCTCTCCCACTGGATGCTGTGGCTTGGGTTGTCACGGATGTGGTCTGATAGAGCTGATTTAGGGTCATCTTTGGAGACTGAGCTTTGATGTTCTTTGATTCGGGTTTTGAGGGGCCTAGATGTTTCTCCTATGTAAGCTTGTCCACAACTGCACGGAATGTGGTACACTGCTCCTGATGGTTCTATCTTGTGGCTGGATGATGGTTTCCCTGTGGCTTTTATTGTTCTGAATGATATGACTTCTCTTGAAATCTACATCAATGTTGGCCTGTTTCTTTGAGAGTCTCCAGCCACAAGCTAGAACCATCAGGAGCAAGAACAATAAGTTGTTCATCCATAAATTCTTTTCCTTACTTAGTACTCCAACTTCTAAACGCCCATCAAAGAAGTGATATCCATATGATCTATAGAGGTTTGATTAGCCGAGTTGGTGGAGAATCAGATCTCCAGGGCCCACTTGCACAAAACGATCTTAGCGCTAAGACTATCGTAAGCCTATGTTAAAGTATGGGAGTTACGATCATCTTAGCGCTAAGATCGCTTTGTGCAAGTGGGCCCTGATCTCCTTTGTTATTTATTTTGTTGCGTTTTCATTATGTCTCAGTAAGTATTAGTGTTGAGGATGGATATAAGATGTGCATGCTTTACTAATTAAAAGGTTCTTTTGGTCGGGATCGAACACACAAAACTGTTCTCTTCAGTGTGCACGACACATTTAGTTTAAGTCTTTAGAGTAACTTCCCTTTATGAAATTGATCCTGGCTGACAAAACCAAGTTGAAAACGTATAGATCTTTCTGGGGTGAAGTGAAACTGATCCATGAATTTACATTACTTCCAAATGTGAAGTATATTTACAAGGTAGGTATCATTAGGTATATATGACTACCAACACACGTGTTATTGAGCAGACCAACGCAGAACTGCGTTTCGTTCTTTGTTTCATAGGCATTACTTAAAAGTTGACGGATGACAAGGTAGACACAATAATTATGGCATTTTACAGTATTAAAGAAGTTGTTATCCATAAAATTGTGTCTGCGTATCATTCATTGTAAAGACTGCCGCTATAAATTTGCCCGATGTGGCGCTATAAGTATTTATTTATTTTAAACTTGCTTTCTTGTAACGACGTGTTAATGATCCTACATTTCCCTACAGTTCAACACTTAGTGCGTGCGATCTTGTAGATTTGGGCTGTAATTCATCTCTCACAAGATCGCAGATAGTGAGTACATTTTACCACGTGGGGTGGACAGAAGCAAAGGTTCAAAGTCGGGCGAACCTGGGCTTGCATTCAGCTGTCCACGGATCCTAGCGTAGGTAGGGGACGCAACTCTTCAAGTGATGATGTAGCAGACACAACACAACGACAGTTTGAAGTAAAACAAAGAACAATCAATCACGCTGAAGCTTTATTTCATGTTTATTGCACAGTCAGAGTTAACAGGGTATTAAACATACAGAGACCCGTGAAGATCCGGGGTAGAATAGGTCTTCAGCATCCAACGTTTGCCATAAAAGGTGACTATGCTTGTCGTAAAAGGCGACTAACGGGATCGGGTCTGGCTCGCTGACTTGGTTGATCCCATTACGTGGATCGATGCTCATGATGTCAATCACTGGATTTTCTGGCCCAGACTCGATTTATTTACACACCGCCGTCATATAGCTGGAATATTGCTGAGTTCGGCGTTAAACAACAAACAAACAAAACGAATACACGGACCATCAGTGAGGATTGAAATATGTTTGAGTGAAGGGAATTTCAACATTTGTTTTGCTTCTTTGTTTGTTTATTTGTTTGTTATTTAAGGCCGCACTCGACACTAGTCCAGCTGTGAAACGGTGGTCTGTAAATGATCAAGTCCGAACCGGACAATCCATTGATTGACATCATGAGCATCGATACACAATTTGGATAATGTCAACCAAGGCAGCGAGACTGACCATCCGATCCAGGTAGTCGCCTCTTACGACAATTAAGCTATATTATTACTATGTTCTTACCGGAATCCCTATGGGTCCATCTGATATAAATGTTCTGACAAAGACATTTGCCATTTGACAGACAACATGGGATATTGAACCGATTTCAGACTGAATACGTCAAGTGAGAGAAGGATCCAAGAAACCTCTGAACACTTATAGACTTGATATATCGAATGGTTTCTAATCGAATGCAAACCATTGACTGATAGCATGAACGACAGGGTAGTTACAACGATGATACAGTACCAGCAACAGTGACAGCGTCTGATCACTCGATTCGCAGGTTAGTAGAATCTCACGACAAGCACAAGCACGAAGTCATGGGAACAAACACTTTATTAAACCAAACAAGAAAGTCACACACATCAAATTCGGTTTGCATTCTATATAAGTTACGCATAGAGCTTCTGCAGACATCATATAATCGAGCTACATCCATTTACAATGTACGACGACCGATCAGTAGATCGAGGGTCCTCATGAGCGTGACGCACCCGACCACTTTCGCAACAAAATGATAAGCTTGGTGAAATGAAGTCACTAAACTTCCTGTAAACTATCTGGACGGATATCTAGACTTACTAGGGATGATCCGGTTGTGCCATCAGTGTCCCCTTCGAAGGGTATTTTGTGGCACTGTTTCGGGAGTTGTTTGTTCGCGACTGCACGACCAGATCACTCAAAGTGAACAGTTCCGATACAAATCATTCGAAAACTCCGTAGAAGTGTGCCTGATGTCTGATTATGTGGCCCAAAACATCCCAAATGAGAACAATAACATTCCCCATCTCTAGCGTAAAACGCTGTGAGAAGATCACGGTTGTCTTTCCTTATTCCGGTGATGACCTTGCCATTCTCTCGAAGTTGTCACTGACATGCAAGCATACTTGAGTTTCACGTCTTCAGTATTTATAGGGTGGTACAGTTAACATGAATGTCTTGGCGAACACTCTGATTTCCCTCTTCCAAAATGGTACGGACAGGATATAAATTCAGCTGATTGATCAAGGAAATCGAACCACTTTGATTGCACAGCGAGTGACCGGCTGATATTCAAAGCGCGGCGCTAATGTGAATTTTAAAATTTTCTTGTAGGTGTCCTGCGTACTAACAACAATGCGCTTGAATTACCAAAAGTTGAAGAAATTCTTCAAAACAGATCTTGAGCGTCGGTGCTGTTATGTTTGCAAACACAACAGCAAGAGCATTTTGTTAATGCGAATGCATAGAAATGTCAACAATGCTCATATTTGGGCATATATCAATATTCATGCGAAATCAGATTTTGCAACCGGTTTAAGTTTGGTCTGTCAACGAACGAAAGTTGTTATGTATTTACACTTAAATATATATTTATTATTATTATTTAACGTGGGTAATAAATAAAATACCAGACTCATTCTCGATTAATAAATACCATTTTTACAAAACTCGTGAATTTCGTATGGTATTTTCTATGGTTTTCGCTCGGTCAGATACCATAGAAAGTCAACTCGTTTCGTAAAAATGGTCTCTAACGAGAATGAGTTTATTGTTCTCTATTTATGAACACAGTAACAAATAAAGCAACAAAAATGTCATTCCTTTCTAAGGCCGCTGGCTTAGACTTTCTCCTCCGCAACGTCCATGTCGCCCATGTCGATGACGTCGTAGATGTTGACGTCAAAGTTGCTGAGCTGAACATACTCGGCCTCCTCCTCCAGGTGCCCCTCGATGGTGTCCGCCAGGTCGGAGAAGGTGGGCCTGTCCCCGGGGTGGGGCCGCCAGCACTGTGTCATCAGCTTGTACCTATGGGTAAGGGAATTACAGAACATGGGTGCCAGGCAGTCATGTCCATGGCAATCGTGACATCATCATCATCATCATCATCATCATCTCGGCTCGGAGAATGTGAAGACTTCCCAAAACTGCAAACTTCTGCATTACCCAGATTGTTAGAAGGGCTGTATTCCTGGTAGCAAACCCAGGTACTCTCCAAATGTCAGTCAACAGATTGGGAGGTACTAAATCTAAGGCACCGAGAACAATGGGGAGTCGGACAACTCGGATCATCATCATCATCATCATCAATCATCATCATCATCATCGTCGTCATCAATCATCATCATCATCATCATCAATCATCATCATCAATCACCATCATCATCATAATCATCATCAATCATCATCATCAATCATCATCAATCATCATCATCATCGTCGTCGTCGTCGTCATCAATCATCATCATCAATCATCATCATCAATCATCATCATCAATCATCATCATCATCAATCATCATCATCAATCATCATCATCGTCGTCATCAATCATCATCATCAATCATCATCATCATCAATCATCATCATCAATCATCATCATCAATCATCATCATCATCAATCATCATCATCAATCACCAACATCATCATCATCATCATCAATCATCATCATCATCAATCATCATCATCAATCACCATCATCATCATCAACATCATCAATCATCATCATCATCGTCATCACCAATCATCATCATCATCATCAATCACCATCATCATCATCAATCATCATCATCATCAATCATCATCATCGTCATCACCCATCATCATCATCATCAATCATCATCATCATCATTATTGGACTCACACGTGGTCCGAGCAGCAGTCCGGCTTCTCCAGCCTCCCCCCTTCCTTGACCGACGTCATCACCTGTCGGGCACTCTGTCCGGAGTAAGGACTGGCCCCTAGTGAGGGACAAGACACACAGTATACTACCCCCGGGCTCGTCTCTCTCTCCCTTTTTCCACAAGATGGTTTACGATTTTTTCTCTCTCAAAACCTTTGGTCGGTGGTCAAAGTGAAAATAAAGATTAAATTAGACTATTCGATTCTATTTGTTGTTCCGGTAAGAATGACTTTGACTTTGAATGAGTGAGGTAAGCACATGTGGTCAAATGACCTTCCTTGAAATGTGCCTCGGTTCACCCAGCAGTTAATGGGTACCCGGTAAGATGAGATGGTAATGTGACTGTTAACCTTCAAACGCCTCACAGGCAGCTGGGGTGTATGCTCCCAAGGGAACTATATAAGTATTTATTTATTTCAAACTTGCTTTCTTGTAACGACGTATTAATTACCAAACATTTACCTACAGTTCGATCAACACTTAGTGCGTGCGATCTTGCAGATTTGGGCTGTAATTCATCTCTCAAAAGATCGCAGATAGTGAGTGAGTACATTTTACCACGTGGGGTGAACAGAAGCAAAGGTTCAAAGTCGGGCGAACCTGGGCTTGCATTCAGCTGTCCACGGATCCTAGCGTAGGTAGGGGACGCAACTCTTCAAGTGATGATGTAGCAGACACAACACAACGACAGTTTGAAGTAAAACAAAGAACAATCAATCACGCTGAAGCTTTATTTCATGTTTATTGCACAGTCAGAGTTAACAGGGTATTAAACATACAGAGACCCGTGAAGATCCGGGGTAGAATAGGTCTTCAGCATCCAATGTTTGCCGTAAAAGGTGACTATGCTTGTCGTAAAAGGCGACTAACGGGATCGGGTCAGGCTCGCTGACTTGGTTGATCCCATTACGTGGATCAAAGCTCATGATGTCAATCACTGGATTTTCTGGCCCAGACTCGATTTATTTACACACCGCCGTCATATACCTGGAATATTGCTTAGTTCGGCATTAAACAACAAACAAACAAAACGAATACACGGACCATCAGTGAGGATTGAAATATGTTTGAGTGAAGGGAATTTCAACATTGGTTTTGCTTCTTTGTTTGTTTATTTGTTTGTTGTTTAAAGCCGCACTCGGCAATAGTCCAGCTGTGAAACGGTGGTCTGTAAATGATCAAGTCCGAACCGGACAATCCATTGATTGACATCATGAGCATCGACATACAATTTGTTTAACGTCAACCAAGGCAGCGAGACTGACCATCCGATCCAGGTAGTCGCCTCTTACGACAATTAAGCTATATTACTATGTTCTTACCGGAATTCCCATGGGTCCATCTGATATAAATGTTCTGACAAAGACATTTGCCATTTGACAGACAACATGGGATATTGAGCCGATTTCAGACTGAATACGTCAAGTGAGAGAAGGATCCAAGAAACATCTAAACAATAATAGACTTGATATATCGAATGGTTTCTAATCGAATGCAAACCAGTGACTGATGGCATGAACGACAGGGTAGTTACAACGATGATACAGTACCAGCAAGTCACAGCGTCTGACCACTCGATTCGCAGGTTAGTAGAATCTCACGACAAGCACAGAGTCCTGGGATCAAACACTTTATTAAACCAAACAAGAGAGTCACACGCATCAAATTCGGTTTGCATTCTATATAAGTTATGCATAGAGCTTCTGCAGACATCATATAATCGAGCTACATCCATTTACAATGTACGACGACCGATCAGTAGATCGAGGGTCCTCATGAGCGTGACGCACCCGACCACTTTCGCAACAAAATGATAAGCTTGGTGAAATGAAGTCACTAAACTTCCTGTAAACTATCTGGACGGATATCTAGACTTACTAGGGATGATCCGGCTGTGCCATCAGTGTCCCCTTCGAAGCGTATTTTGTGGCACTGTTTCGGGAGTTGTTTGTTCGCGACTGCACGACCAGATCACTCAAAGTGAACATTTCCGATACAAATCATTCGAAAACTCCGTAGAAGTGTGCCTGATGTCTGATTATGTGGCCCAAAACATCCCAAATGAGAACAATAACATTCCCTATCTCCAGCTAAAGCGCTGTGAGAAGATCACGGTTGTCTTTCCTTATTCCGGTGATGACCTTGCCATTCTCTCGAAGTTGTCACTGACATGCAAGCATACTTGAGTTTCACGTCTTCAGTATATATAGGGTGGTACAGTTAACATGAATGTCTTGGCGAACACTCTGATTTCCCTCTTCCAAAATGGTACGGACAGGATATAAATTCAGCTGATTGATCAAGGAAATCGAACCACTTTGATTGCACAGCGAGTGACCGGCTGATATTCAAAGCGCGGCGCTAATGTGAATTTTAAAATTTTCTTGTAGGTGTCCTGCGTACTAACAACAATGCGCTTGAATTACCAAAAGTTGAAGAAATTCTTCAAAACAGATCTTGAGCGTCGGTGCTGTTATGTTTGCAAACACAACAGCAAGAGCATTTTGTTAATGCGAATGCATAGAAATGTCAACGATGCTCATATTTGGGCATATATCAATATTCATGCGCGACCAGATTTTGCAACCGGTTTAAGTTTGGTCTGTCAACGAACGAAAGTTGTTATGTATTTACACTTAAATATATATTTATTACTATTATTTAACGTGGGTAATAAATAAAATACCAGACTCATTCTCGATTAATAAATACCATTTTTACAAAACTCGTGAATTTCGTATGGTATTTTCTATGGTTTTCGCTCGGTCAGATACCATAGAAAGTCAACTCGTTTCGTAAAAATGGTCTCTAACGAGAATGAGTTTATTGTTCTCTATTTATGAACACAGTAACAAATAAAGCAACAAAAATGTCATTCTTTTCTAAGGCCGCTGGCTTAGACTTTCTCCTCCGCAACGTCCATGTCGCCCATGTCGATGACGTCGTAGATGTTGACGTCAAAGTTGCTGAGCTGAACATACTCGGCCTCCTCCTCCAGGTGCCCCTCGATGGTGTCCGCCAGGTCTGAGAAGGTGGACCTGTCCCCGGGGTGGGGCCGCCAGCACTGTGTCATCAGCTTGTACCTATGGGTAAGGGAATTACAGAACATGGGTACCAGGCAGTCATGTCCATGGCAATCGTGTCATCATCATCGTCGTCATCATCATCATCATCATCATCATCTCGGAGAATGTGAAGACTTCCCAATACTGCAAACTTCTGCATTACCCAGATTGTTAGAAGGCCTGTATTCCTGGTAGCAAACCCAGGTACACTCCAAATGTCAGTCAACAGATTGGGAGGTATTAAATCTAAGGCACCGAGAACAATGGGGAGTCGGACAACTCGGATCATCATCATCATCATCATCATCATCAATCATAATCATCAATCATCATCATCAACATCATCAATCATCATCAATCATAATCATCATCATCATCAATCATCATCAATCATCATCATTATCAATCATCATCAATCATCATCATCAATCACCATCATCATCATCAACATCACCAATCATCATCACCAATCATCATCAATCATCGTCATCATCGTCATCATCAATCATCATCATCAATCATCATCAATCATCATCATCATCATTATTGGACTCACACGTGGTCCGAGCAGCAGTCCGGCTTCTCCAGCCTCCTCCCTTCCTTGACCGACGTCATCACTTGCCGGGCACTCTGTCCGGAGTAAGGACTGGCCCCTAGTGAGGGACAAGACACACAGTATACTACCCCCGGGCTCGTCTCCCTCTCCCTTTTTCCACAAGATGGTTTACGATTTTTTCTCTCTCAAAACCTTTGGTCGTTGGTCAAAGTGAAAATATAGATTAAATTAGACTATTCGATTCTATTTGTTGTTCCGGTAAGAATGACTTTGACTTTGAATGAGTTAGGTAAGCACATTTGGTCAAATGACCTTGCTCGAAATGTGCCTCGGTTGACCCAGCAGTTAATGGGTACCCGGTAAGATGAGATGGTAATGTGACTGTTAACCTTCAAACGCCTCCCAGGCAGCTGGGGTGTATGCTCCCAAGGGAACTGAGAATGAGTGAGTGAGTGAGTATGGTTTTACGCCGCTTTTAGCAATATTCCAGCAATATCACGGCGGGGTACACCAGAAATGGGCTTCGCACATTGTACCCATGTCGGGAATCGAACCCGGGTCTTCGGCGTGACGAGCGAATGGTTAACCACTGGGCTACCTGGCCGCTCCGAACTGAGAATGAAAATCGAGAGCACACTGATCAATTGACCGGGGCAATAATGTAGCCCTTAGAGCACGCTTTTGGGCATGGATTTGGCGCGTTATAAGTATGCACATTATTATTATTATCATCATCATCTTCATCATCATTATTATTATTATTTTTATTATTATTACATTATTATTTTAAGCCGCTTTTAGCAATAATCCAGCAATATCATGGCGGGGGACACCAGAAATAGGCATCACACATTGTACCCATGTGGGAATCGAACCTGCATCTTCGGTGGGACGAGCTAAGGCTTTAACCACTAGGCTACCCCCCCACCAAGTTTCTGTAAGCACACACTCGTCACGATATGGCTGAAATATTGCCGATGTGACGTAAAGCATTACCTCACTCACTCACTCTGTAAGCACACAGGGTCAGTAGGATAAGAAAACGAACCATAATCCCTATTCACCCCTTGGTATTGTTTTAAAGTGTGACATGAATATTAATTGTGTCATAGCTTTTATATTGGAACAAAGACTGTTGAGTAGGGGTGAAATGGGGGTTAATGTCGCGTCCAAGATTATCGCACTTATATAGCGACGTGTGTGAGTGTGTGTGTGTGTGTGTGTGTGTGTGTGGCTGCTTGTACTAGTCCGGACTGATGCCGATTTATAGTGCTAGCTGACTGAGATACCATACCGCAGTTTAACATGAATACCCCACTCAGACACAGTACACTGACTCCGAGGACTCACCCAGTGTGACAAGCTCCCAGAGAAGGACCCCGTAGGACCACACGTCGGACTTGAGAGTGTAAAGCCCGTCTGTCAGAGACTCGGGGGACATCCAGCGTATTGGGAGGGGACCCTGAAAGGCATAGAAATAAGTAGCACCTCGTAAAAAATGTTTTCGACAAAATGGAGGTACAATAGTATTTTGGTGCCTCTTGGGGACTCCGGGTTAGAATAGTTGCCAGGGCTCACATGCACAAAGCGACCTTAGCGCTAATATGATCGTAACTCCCATACTCATTATTATGTCATTGATATTTTCTGTTGATATTTCGGGTAAAAATGAATTTGTAGCAAAGGTTCACACCACTGTGTCAAACGGCCTGTACACTGAGGACGTGGAAACCCCTTTCTGCGGCAACCTGCCGATTCTTCATCACCTGGGTGTATCCCCGAAGGCACCGATTACGCTCGGCAATTTTATCAAATTCACGCATAAAGTGCCACTAGGACGCCGTGTTTTGGAGTTGGACATTGTCCATCACACCGCCTTGTGCAGACACAGTTCTGGGAAAAGACGCGAGAAAAGAAAGGAAGCGAACAACGAAATATGATTGGCAATGACGTTTTGAACTATATTGTTTTATAAAGATCTTTTAATCTCGGATGAAATTTTATTTGTTTTAGATCTGTAACAAAACACACACCAATACATTACAAGGAATTGAACAAACTGTGTCACTATAGTTTCATCAATCCAGAATGCGTTTTGGGGTACTTAAAGACAAGGTCAAAGTTCAAAGGAAATAATAAATTTAAACGTTCCAAATACAGTAAACTACGGTTATAACGAACTCAAAGGGACCCCTTATTTTAATTCGTAATAACCGTAGTTCGTTATAAGCATGCATATATACAGCTTATATAACAAATGCCCGGGACTTAAAAATAAGTTTGTTATATCGGTCAGTTCGTTATAAGCGTGTTCGTCATAAACGTAGTTTACATGTATCATAGAAAAATGGAACATCTAGTGTGAGACAAACTACAAAGAATACATATATGGCAAATTATACTTCATCTAGAAAACAATCCAGCACGCCAGCAATGGCAATAAATTGGGTTCATTTTCAAAATGGCACCGCACTATGTATGAGTGAGTTGGGTTTAACGCCGCTATTAACAGTATTCCAGTTATATCGCGGCGTGTCAGCTTAATGTGGGAGGAAAGCCCGAAGTGATGCAGGTCTCAGACGTTTACCACTTCGGTGAAACCCACGAGCTAGGGTATAGTGCTGACAAACCTAGAAACAAAATCGGGCGAACCGGGATTCGAACCCACAATCATAGGTTTCTGGCTTGTCCAAGGGACGCAACTCTGCACAGCGAATCGCAGCGCCTTAGACGACTGGGCGCCCTGTGCCCCCTGCAGTATGTATTGTATATCCAAATTTGTAAGTGCCTACCATTGACGACACTTCGTATTCGTCACTCCCCTCCATGTCACGTGACAGACCAAAGTCGGAGATCTTGCAGACATTCCCTAGTCCCAGGAGAACATTCCTGGCAGCCAAATCTCTGTGAATTATCTGTCACAGAATCCCAGCATTTGTTCAGCATTAACCAGGGGGAGGTATTGGATAAAACTTTATCAAAACAACATACATTTGAATCCAGTAGAGCTGACATGAATAAAATATATCATTGATCGTCACAATATATTTCCCCCATATATTCTTTGGTTAATTCTTCATTTCATTATTTATTTATCTACTTCGTTATACGACAGTTTCTTTTTTAAGCTTTCTCGTGCAGGACATGTTTACCATTTCGTGAACACGCCATGTATTGATATACACGCCCGAAATTCATTTTACAGACGTTTGACGTCATTACACCTTCAATGCCATTTGGAAACCAAGTGTCATTTTGAGCGAGAATGTGTCAGCTTGGGAGGCCGTGTACTGCGCTTGTCATTTGAAATCCGACCAGTATGAATTGATTTCAAATTGTTTATAACCTTCAAAACTACAAGAAATTCATTCGGCCAAAAAATGTTAAATATACTGATTTTCTAAAAAGGGAACATTTATCAGCGCATATATTATGCGTCGCCACATATACACACATTATGCGTCGCCACATATACACACATACACATTATGCGTTGCTACATATACACACATTATGCGTCGCCACATATACACACATTATGCGTCGCCACATATACACACATTATGAGTAGCCACATTTTCACACATGATGCGTTGCTACATATACACACATTATGCGTCGCCACATATACACACATGATGCGTTGCTACATATACACACATTATGCGCCGCCACATACACACACATTATGCGTTGCTACATACACACACATTATGCGTTGCTACATATACACACATTATGCGTTGCTACATATAAACACATTATGCGTTGCTACATATACACACATTATGCGTTGCTACATATACACACATTAAGCGTTGCCACATATACACACAATATGCGTCGCGAAAATATACACACATTATGCGTCGCGAAAATATACACACATTATGCGTTGCTACATATACACATTATGCGTCGCGAAAATATACACACATTATGCGTTGTCACATATAAACACATTATGCGTTGCTACATATACACACATTATGCGTCGCCACATATACACACATGATGCGTTGCTACATATACACACATTATGCGCCGCCACATACACACACATTATGCGTTGCTACATACACACACATTACGCGTCGCCACATATACACACATTATGCGTTGCTACGTGTGCCATCCCTTTAGCTATCTGCAATGCAAAAGAGGACAAGTCACGTGATGACAAGAGGTTCATCTGGTCCAGAGCATCGTGTGCCTGCGTCTTCTCCTCGGTTTTCTGGCTTCCCTCTTCCTCCCTGTGCTCTCCTTCTTCTCCGCCCGACCCTTCGCTGGTTCCTTCCCCATCGCTCTTCTCCTTCTGGGGGCGCCTGTTCCTCAGAAACTGAAGGAGGTTTCCCCCGGGCACATATTCCATGATCAGCAACGTTGGCTCTGTGAGTGAGTGAGTGAGTGCACATACTCCATGATCAGCAAAGTTGAGTGAGTGAGTGAGTGAGTGAGTGAGTGAGTGAGTGAGGAACTGTAGGATGTCTCCCAGGGCACATATTCCATGACCAGCAAAGTTGGCTCTGTGAGTGAGTGAGTGAGTGCACATACTCCATGATCAGCACAGTTGAGTGAGTGAGTGAGTGAGCGATTGAGTGAGTGAGTGAGTGAGGAACTGTAGGATGTCTCCCAGGGCACATATTCCATGACCAGCAAAGTTGGCTCTGTGAATGAGTGAGTGAGTGAGTGAGTGAGTGAGTGAGAGTGAATGAGTGAGTGCACATACTCCATGATCAGCAAAGTTGGCTCTGTGAGTGAGTGAGTGAGTGAGTGAGTGAGTGAGTGAGTGAGTGAGTAAATGAGTGAGTGAGTGAGTGCACATACTCCATGATCAGCAAAGTTGGCTCTGTGAGTGAGTGAGTGAGTGAGTGAGTGAGTGAGTAAATGAGTGAGTGAGTGAGTAAATGAGTGAGTGAGTGAGTGCACATACTCCATGATCAGCAAAGTTGGCTCTGTGAGTGAGTGAGTGAGTGAGTGAGTGAGTGAGTGAGTGAGAGTGAATGAGTGAGTGCACATACTCCATGATCAGCAAAGTTGGCTCTGTGAGTGAGTGAGTGAGTGAGTGAGTGAGTGAGTAAATGAGTGAGTGAGTGAGTAAATGAGTGAGTGAGTGAGTGCACATACTCCATGATCAGCAAAGTTGGCTCTGTGAATGAGTGAGTGAGTGAGTGAGTGAGTGAGTGCACATACTCCATGATCAGCAAAGTTGGCTCTGTGAGTGAGTGAGTGAGTGAGTGAGT